GAGCTCTAAATTTTGCTCTACTGCTAAACTCTATCAGGCCGTAATCAATTGCATGCCAGCTATTCAATGGAAAAAGGCTACGAGACTGCTGTAGGAGGTGACAACTCTTCACGTTTTTCACATTTGGGTTCCAGTGATGGTGGTCAACAGCCATGTGTATGGTCATCTCCCCAAGGAGGATGTAAAATTGACATAAGAAAGCAGATCTTCTGCAACAGATCGTTGAATATGAGGAGTATTCTTGCCGTAGGGTTTGATATGGATTACACATTAGCACAATACAAGCCAGAAACCTTTGAGTCTCTTGCATATGATGGAACTATCCGGAAATTGGTGTATGATTTAGGATACCCACGTGAGGTTTGTCTGTTTTATTATATGTTCCTTCCGTTTCAGGGAGAAATTGATGTTGCTGACAATTAACATATTCAATCATTTTGGTTTCATATTTCAAATAACCCAGTAATGTTTTCTTTGTTATGTGCAATTTTTTAAAACACTTAGCAAACATTTTTTACTACCTTTGTAGAATTAGCAATACCTAGTATGCTGATTAATAATAATTACCTGATGTAGTTGCTGGATTGGTCCTTTGATTGGACATATATGGTAAGAGGCTTGGTTCTGGATAAGAAGAGAGGAAACATCTTGAAGGTAATCCAGTTAATTTAATTTTTTTTGTTTGCAGATTATGTGTTTTGATGTTTGTCTTTTGTCAGTCCAAGTTAGGTTGGATTTCTGTTCTTTCTTACTTACATGAATCTATGCGTGAAATACTTGTAATTATGGTTGTGCAGATGGATCGGCATAAGTATGTGAAAGTTGCCTACCATGGATTCAAAGAGTTGTCTAAGGAAGATAAAGTTGGCACCTATGGAAATACATTAATACGGGATTCCTTTGACGAGCCTGATTATGCTCTCATTGATACCCTCTTTTCTTTAGCTGAAGCTTACCTATTTGCGCAATTGGTAGACTTCAAAGACAAAAATCTGGAAAAAATTCCAAAGGGTGCCGAGTAAGAATACGACTTGCTATATGGATGATAAACTTCTGCTATATCAATATTTATTCTGTTCTTTTCCTTTTCAGTTACTCTGTTATGTATAAGGATGTTCGAGCTGCAGTTGATTTGTGCCACCGTGATGGAACTTTAAAGCAAATGGTAGCAAAAGACCCTAAAAGGTAAGGATAAACATTGTATATTAGTTTCGCATAATACAAATCTATCCATAATGGAAAGTAAAACAATCTTACTTGGTCTGCATGCTTATTGATACAAGGTATATTAATGAAGATACAACCATAGTTCCTATGCTCAAAATGCTGAGAGATTCTGGCCGTGCTACATTCTTGGTGACAAACAGGTATTTTTGCTTTTTTAAGTTTCAATTTTGTTTAATTTAATTTGAAAATATTTCATGTATTATTGCTGATAATTGATAATCACACTTATTTATTTATTTTTTAAATTACTTCTTACAGTTTATGGGACTACACAAACATAGTAATGAATTTCCTCTGTGGGTCACGCACATTGGATGGTAGTAGAAAATGCAATTTCGACTGGCTTCAATACTTTGATGTTGTCATCACTGGCAGGTCATGTTTTTTCCTTTTCCTCAAATCTTTTTGTTATTGTTCTTTAGCACTATATTACCATTCAATTTATGAAGTCTTCAATTGAAAGAATGCTATTGTAGATTTCAATTGCCATACCCTTTGACATACTATAGCTTTTTTGATTTATGTTGTTTATACTTGTGTTCATAATCATTTAAATCATGGTCCTCCACTTTGTCCTATCCTAGGCCATTTAATTTTTCACATCCACACTGATATAAGTTACTATATACAGTTTAGCATCTGTATCATAGTTACTGTCTTTATACTAACCATTGAAAGCTGTTGCCTATACAGTGCAAAGCCAAGCTTCTTCCATGAAGGTAATCGTGCTAATCTGTTTGAGGTTGATCATGAGTCTGGGATGCTACTTAATACTGATAATGGTTCTCCTATGGCTCAGGTTGGTATGCTAGTTTTGTTAGTTCATGTCTAGCACATTATGTATTCCCTTGTTTTATCTAGTTTTAATAATTAATTTATATTTTTATAAAAAGGTTGGAAGTTCTTCACCTAGATTATCACTGAAGGGAGTTAAGGCTTGTAGAGTTTTTCAGGTACTCTTCTAAATATATCTAGTGCATCATAGAACCATATGAAGAGCTTATCTGAATTGCTTTAAATGAATTCACTACCATCTTTGTCTTCTATATACAAGTATTCCATTTTATTTTATTTTTTGCTGATTAATTACTATGTTACTTTAGTTTTTTTTAATCTGAGTAAAAATGCCTTTGGCCTTGTTTCAGGGAGGCAGTGTTGGTCATCTTCATAAACTGCTTTCAATTGAGTCAAGTTCACAGGTGAACTATTCTTTCCTGAAGCTGTAGTGAATTTCATTCTAGATAGTTGGTTGACATTTTCTTTTGCTTTGATTATTGAGATCAATGCTGGGTCGTCCCATTTTGAAGTTGGATGCTTGGGTCTAATACCTTGCACATTTTTAGTAGGTTCTTTATGTTGGTGATCATATATATGGAGATATTTTGCGCAGCAAAAAGGTTCTTGGTATTAAATCTTCTAATTTCCCTTCTTTTTGATATTCAGTTATCTTATGTGCCAACTTTTTAGACAAGGTATATTTTCTCTTTCTTTTATTTTCTTTCTCCTAATGTGATTGTCTTTGTCCTCTTTTTTTGTCTTTATGAGCAGGGTGGAGAACAATGCTTGTTGTTCCGGAGCTAGAGAGGGAGGTCGAACTCCTATGGGAATTGAGAGATACACGCAAGGTCTTTTTTAAACTTCTTGTTAAACTGCTTTAATTATGGGAGGTTTCATAATCAACAAGCGTTAGTAGAATGTAACTTGCATGCAATGGTTTCATACAGCAACTTCGAAAGTTGAGGAATGAACGCGATCTCATTGAAGACAAAATACATCATTTAAAGTGGTCTCTGAAGTCAGTATCTATCTAGATGGCCATATTGCTTTTCTTTTTCCTTTTTTTCCTTTTGGGGGAAATATTTACACAGAAGTGAGGTTGCTTTGTTCAGATTTGAAGATACCAGTGCCGATGAGAAGCAAAAACTATCTTCTGAATACAATGCTTTGGAGGTTAGGCTGTTAACCTGTGAAGCTAAATTTATTTCAGCCAAATATGTGCTTAACTGTTGTGGATTTTGTATTAATTATTCCTTAATGGTTTAATTTTATAGTCTGAAAGAGATCGAGTTCGGATCACTCATCAAGATGCACAACGAGAATGTCACAAAATGGTAGTGATTCTCTTGTACAACACGAACCGTGCTTCCTAGTTCCTGGGCTTTAGTCCAGTGTCATGTAAATTCCGTTGAATTTGGTATCAAGAATTTTGAATTTTTAGTTTGCTTGCCTATAACTGCAGTTTCATAAGATTTGGGGACAACTCATGAAGACTGGTTATCAGAACTCTCGCTTTGCTCATCAGGTGAGGTGTAACCTTGCCTTAGCATTATGCGAAATAAAAATCGTTGAACATTGACTTTTTAAAAATAGATAAATTCTTTTTAACCTTCGTTCCTTCTCATCAATTGGATTTCGTTTTTGGAATATTGCTCACAATCTGGGCTTTTCGTAATGCAGGTCGAGAGATTTGCCTGCCTTTATACTAGCCAAGTTTCCAACTTGAGCCTCTACTCCCCAGACAAATACTACAGACCCAGTGAAGACTACATGCCCCATGAATTCGATATTATTCCCTTGTGAAACATTTTGAGGAGAAGAAAAAGAGGCAAGCATTTTAGGGAGGAGCATAGTTAGTTGTTCGGCTTTGGGAAGCATCAAAACAGAGCTTGTACAAAGCTTATTTCCCCCCATAAATGATTTGCTTCAATAGAATAACTGTAAACCAAGTGCTTAAGCAATGTACTTTCATTGCCCCTAAAGTGGTACAAACTATTTTCGACCGTTAAGGTGGTGATTGCTATGGATGCCTAGATTCTTGCGTTTTACAACTAAATATCAATTTCACTTGGAATATTTTATATTATTTCCAGATGATGTATCGTTGATTAATGATTAATGATTTTTTTATTATTTTTTCTTCAAATTTTGACGACTGAAATTTGAATTCTGGTCAGGAAAATTGTCCCAAGAAGAATTTCCCAAGATCTTTAACAAATTTTATACTCCATTCTTGGGATATTTTTTAAAAGGGTTATTATCACAAAACGTCCATAAGATTTACGAAACTATCAGATTGCATTCTTAATATATTTTTTTTGTGTCATTCGTGGTCTTCAAGGTTAGTATGTGTGATCACAAATGATTTATGCCATGACATCAACAAACTAATGGAGCTTTTTAAAAATAATTTAAAATTCATAAAATTTAAAAAATGAAAAAACTAAGGGTTTAGGGTTCATAAATAGTCCTCAAGATTACAATTCTTCTATAAATGGTTTTTTCATTTATAAATAATTTTAAATAGAAAACTAAAATTTTATGAATTTTAAATGAAAAAATGAAAAAATTTCGTAGGGACTATTTGTGATAGGTGTGTGAACCTCATAGATGTTTTGTGATATATATATATATATATATATATATGCCACGTTAGCAAACTAAAGTGACGAAACCTTACAGCAAGGACCATTTGTGATCGCACATACTAACATTGAGGGCCACGAGTGACACAAAAAAACATTAAGAATGCAATATGATAGTTTCGTAAATCTTAGGGATGTTTTGTGATAATAAACCTTTTTAAAAAGCATCTATCACAGAGATTTTGCAGCTTGTTTTCTACAATTAACAAGCTCTAATATGAATAAGAATCTGTCTCAACTTAATGGATCAACTTGATTTTACATTTACATTTCCGCCAGATGAACATCAAACCAGATGCCTCATAAGCCCAGTTGCCAAGCAATGAAACTGGTGGTTCAGCACTCTTTCGATTAATGTTCTTCTTGCCTCTCGAGATCTTGCATTTCAATCGGCTCAGGGAAAATTTCATTTGATAACCTTTTACGGGAAGCGGAAGACTCATTTCCACCTACTAGCCCTGGCTGTTTTAAGCTACTGATGCTCTCTCTGTTTGCATGGCCAGGAACAGTGGCACTCTCCGATGAGCTGTGCCGCCAGCTACCGAAGAAAGCAGCGCTCCAGGATCTTCTAGATGAAGTTGTCCGCAGCCTTGCAGAACTCGAACTATCTTCCCTCACCACTTTCAGAGGGTTTTCCAATGCTTTAAGGATATATCTCATCAGGGGACGCTTGGAAGGCTTGGGGTTAAGGCAGGACCTGGCCACGATTGCCATGGCCCATACCTCTTCCAGTAGATCATCATCTACTATCAGAGATGGGTCAAGAATCTTATTAATCAGTTCCTTGTCATATATGCTGATGTAACGCACTGTATGATCCAGCCACTCTCTTGTTGAGGCATCATCTGATTTGCTGATGCCAAGTTTACCCGTCACAAGCTCAAGCAAAACCTTCCCGAAACAGTAGACATCGTAAGCGGAAGCCACCGATGATGAGGCTGTCCACAAAGAAAGAAACGAAACAAGTAAATCTACTAAAAGAGAACAATCTAGCCTTGCTTCAGATGGGGAGGGGGAAGAAAATAAAAGGAATGAAAACTTGCAGAAAAAAGTTTCGAGTAGATACCAGAAGGGGTTTGTTCAGAAGTTCTGCACAAGACAGACAAGACAGAAAGGAATGAGAAACAAAACAGATAAAAATATCCCTGACTGAACTATAATTTGATGAAAAATGCCAAAGATCGTATGAATGCAGGGCAACTCATAAATGAATGAGCACTTACTGTTGTTTCCGCAACAACCTCGTGATCACATTTTGGTTAGCATCCCCTTGAACACGGACCTCACTCAAGCTTCCAAGTCGGACCTCAAATTTATCATCGAGAAGTATACTGCTTGCTTGAACGTCCCTTCAACCACCAAAAATAACTTTTTAATTACTTATTCAACTAAATAAACTAAACTGAAATTTGCAAATACAGAAAAATTAAATATGAACTACAAGCTATAGTAAGTATGGGAACTAAAGTCTTGAATGAGGGTACCGAGGGGGCATAAAATGGCTTACAATCAACCACAAGGCATAATTTGCCTTCGGTTTCAGCAATAGTTGTAGTTGTAAACATAAACCAGAATCACAAAATCTTTATTTAGCTATTAATAACTTGAGGTGAAATGTTTTTGTTGGCTATAAGGACTCCAAATCATTATGATTAAGGACTATAAGATGTCAGATCAAAAGGAAATCAGCAACGGTTGACATAGAATGAACAGAGAACAAGAATAGCTGAAAGCAAGTTCAGAAATACCTGTGAACAAGGGGTGGGCTGCACTCATGATGTAGGTAAGCTAGGACTTCAGCTGCTCCAATTGCAATTTTTAACCTTGTAATCCAATCCAGGGACTTTAAATTGCCATCTTCTGAATTGGTAACTCTGTGCAAGGAACTAGCCAAGTCTCGATTTGGCATGTATTTGTAAACCAGAAACTTCTCGCTCTCGTGCTCCAAGCTGTACCCCAAAAGTGGCACCAATCTTGTATGTGAAACCTTGTTGAATAAATCCATTTCTAGCACATAGGATTCTTTCTTGACGCAATGCAAATCTACCCTTTTGATTACTACAGGTGTTCCACTCACCAAGGACCCCAGGTATATGTCTCCAGAGTGTCCATGCTCTATAAGATTTGCTTCACTAAAATCTTTAGTGAATTGGAGAATCTGCTCATATGTAAATGAATCTCCTCGGCCTGATACATAGATGAGATCTTTGGGGATTGAAGGGCCATCTCCATCCGGAACAGGCCCGGCATTTGCACTTGCTTGTTGATTTGTGTTTCTATTGCACATTTTCAGGAGCGCTACCAGAACTAGTACCAAAATCCCAATGAAGCCAAGTCCGCCAAATATCCCAACCAGTATAAATATTAATCGCTTCCTGTTCGAGTCAGGTTGAAGGAAAGGTGGCTGAGTTGGTTCTAGGGCCCCAAAATCATCGAACATTAATCTCTTCCGTTCATAGAACTGCCTACAATCCTGCAAACTCCTTTGATTTGGTACCATCTGAAGGCAATTTCTAGCAAGAGTACCATTGCTTTGACTATCTTCTAGTACCTTGCCTTGCAAATAGTTAGTAGACAAATCGATTGAACCAAATTTCCCAAGAGGAAAAGTCAGATTTCCATATAAGAGATTATAAGAGAGGTTGAACACGGCACCACTAACACTAGCATTTGGGCCCAGGCTCGGCAGAGTTCCTGTAAAATCGTTGCTGGAGACATCTAGAAAGCGCAAACTGGGAAGTGACCACAATGCACCAGGAAGAGCACCATCAAACTTATTCCGACTCAGAACTAGAACTTGTAGCTGAACAAGACTTGAAAACAAACCCTCTGACAGTGGACCTACTAGATCATTATCTCCAATCTCCATCTTCCTCAAACTCCTCAACCCTCTCAATTCCACAGGAAATGACCCAGACAACGAATTCTTGCTAAGATCAAGCTCAAGCAACTGGGAAAGGTTACCAAACTGAACTGGAATGGAATCTGTGAGACTATTATCAGCTAGGTTCAAGAATTGAAGTCTGGTAAGGCTACCTAAACCTGGTGGAATTTGCCCAGATAAGAAATTTGAAGAAAGGTCAAGCCTTGTAAGATTTCGAAGAGAGGCAAAACCGGACGGTATTGACCCAGTAAGTGAATTACGCGAAAGATCAAGATTCACCAACTCTGCTATGTTTCCCAGTGCAGAAGGTATAATACCAGTAATATCATTGCCAGATAAATACAAAGTATTAAGCTTGCTCAAATTACCAAGCGACTGAGGTATAGGACCAATGACTGAAGCAGACCTAAGATCAAGCATTTGGAGAGCACTAAGTCTTTGGCCAAACCAGTCGGGTATAGTCCCGGGAAGCGCAAAGCCAGAGGCGTTGAAAGTAGCCAAGAGGGTGAAATTGGCCAATGAATCTACGGCGAACCGGGGGTTGCTCCGGCCAAGTCTGGTTCGCCTTAAACCGGACACCGTGATCCCAATAACTTTGCCGTTCTTGCAGTTAACTCCGGTCCAGGACGAGCAAGGGTCAGCCTTTATGGGCCAGTCTTTGCTTCTGAGACCCAACGACGACCGGAGGTCTAGTAACGCCGACCGTTGTACGCTGGAGCTTAAAGAACCTTGCTGGGCAAAACCGCTCTGAATCAAGAACAAGATTAGCGCTATTGCAAAGGCGCCAACTTGGGTTGTCACTCCCATTGCTATTTCAGTTTGTGACAATACAGAGAACAGTTTCATGATGGTTAATGGAGATTCTTCTTGGTCATCTCTGGGATTGTTCTTTTCTCTACCAAAGAAGGAAAATTTAAGCAATACAAGAATTATCCAATAAACAAAATGGCAAATTTCTTTCTGTTTTGTGCTCTGTGGAACTGAACAAAAAATAAAAGGGAAAATTCTTACTCAGCTCCAGTCACGAGTTTTGAGTCTGCATTCTTGAAACGCCAGCGCCTAAACCCAAGTTGCTCACCGAAACCCAACCCACGTTATAATAATAAAAATGGGAATATGATGACTAATAAGCTTTTGATTAGAGAGAGAAACTTAAGAGGAGTTTCTAAAAGGAGTGAGTGGCACGGGCAGTAGAGATTTTGAGAAGCAAAAAAGAAGGTAAAACATTTAATGACAGCAGTGAAGACTGCCCAACTAACCGCCGAGCCTGCACTAAGTCATTTTCAGACTCACCGGAGCCATTAATGAAGCCACGACTATGGTTGCTATAGCCAGTGGGACAGTTATGGCTATGGAGGTGTGGTTGAAATGGGTTTTGGAAAACGGCATCTGCCTGCACCAAGAAGACTATGAGGTTATTTTGGGCTTCTTCTCGTTTTCTTCTGTGATGGTTTTTGGTTGACTTGACAAATTACTGTTTTGGTCTTTGTGCTTGGATTGGGACTCTGTGTTTGGAGGGAGATCAACAGTTCATTATCTCTGCGTGACATGTTTATCACTTTTATCAGACAAATCAATTTCCAAAGGCTGTCTGATAAGCTTTGATTTTTCTTTTCTTTGTTTTTTTGTTTCTCTTTTCTCTAGTGGAAGAATTGATTGGCATGACAACGCCAAACCATGGGGGACTCATATCATTTTAATATTTTGGCACCGTTAGTAGCCTCATGTTACATAAGATTCCCATATAATATTATTGGCCAAATAAAAATAATTATAATAGGAATGGTTCCTGGTATAAATTGTAATGCATGAAAATTATGATCCTTGTTCTAAATTCCAATTCAGATAAGGTCAGATAAGTCCTTTTCTTTCTTTTAAAAGAGACTTTTCTTTCATGTCGTTTTATTAGAATGATATGACATTATGTCGGACAATTTATTTTAAATTTTTTTGGTTAAGGAGGGTGTGTGGGTCGTATTCTTCTTGTGTATTCTCAGACTTTTGGTTTCATACATGAATAGTACTCAATATGTTATTTTTGTATTGGGTGAATCGTTTGATTTCTTCTGACCACAAAAAATAAAAAATCGTTTGATTTCGTCTGAGAAACAAATACATTAATAAGTTTAAATTTCATTACCAACTAGCTCTTCGTATAATAATACTAAATCTCAAATTTTGAATCCCAAAATAAAAATCTTATATTGTAGTTAATTATTAGCAGGTTGGAGAAAATAACGCGTATACATAATACATAGGTAGAGATGTTCTTCTCCCGCCAAACCCAGAAAATTATAGAGTATGCAAGAGAGGAAAGAGGAGACCAAGACTTTAACACCTGAGTTGTCACTAACCCCTGATTTGATTGGTCCTCAACTTCATTTAGCAATTACGGATCAAAGTAGACTTGAATATTCTGTGATTATTCATGTACAACGTATAAAATTAAAACTCGGCAACCATCCAGACGGAAAATACAAATTTGAGTTTGATAAAAGCAAAAAGGGATAAATTTGACCGGGGCCAATGGCCATAAAGGGGTGTAGAAAAGTTTGATGGCGGCCAACATTATTTTATAGTCAAAACAAAATAAGAAAGAACAGGCACCTACAAGATGATGGGAGTGCTGCACTACGGGAACAATGACTCCGCGGAAAAATAATTGTGGCCGACGTGGGACTTTCCAACTCATTGTCTGAAGTGGACCCCACATCATCCGCGTCGAAGCCATCTCTACCAATTGGGGCCTGGCAACTTTGAAGTCTCCCTGATCTCAATGCAATGACAAGCTAATTACGATATAATCATCCAAAAAAGGAAGAGACGAAGGAAACTTCAATCAACTTTGTATGTTCTTTTCAATCAAATCAACGCACGATTGTTCCTGTGGGCTTTTTATTCGTTTGAATGTTTCTATGGGCTTTTTATTCGTTTGAATGTTCCTATGGGCTTTTTATTCGTTTGAATGTTTATGTGGGCTTTTCATTTGGGTATTTTCAGTTGGCCCAATTTGTCAAGGATGCGAAAATTGCATGAATGGATTTACGATATAAACCCAAGCTAGACTGATCAGTTAAGAGATTAGAACCAAAAACAGGTTGTTTAACAATGTTTAAGACTAGTTTCAGGCTAATGTGAGTTGATTGAGGAAAGTTCTATGGTTTCTAAGCGGTGAACTGGAGAATAGTTTATGCCTTTCTGCTGCTTATACAGCTCATGGTGACAAGATATCATCTCACCTGCTGCTGCTTCTGATGTTTTCTATCTCATTATTTTTCAGCAACTGGACCTACCAACTGGAAATTCCCTTTTTAAATGTACAAGTATATAATATATATATATATATATATATATTATTACCCCCCTTTTTATCAAACTTTTCTATCCAAAGCTGAATCAGGTCAGGTCCGTATTCTCTTCTCATAAAAGGTATGTAGATTCATGGTTGCCTTCCCTGGCTCTGAACAATTCTACAATCCAAAGACACAAACAAAATCGATCACAAGTCGAATCCAAAAGAATCCATTCAAACACATTTGCCTCAGTCCTCATCAGCACTTACATTGGCAAAGGAGTCTATTAGCTAGGCCAATTCCAACTTGTGAGGAGGGACCGCATGGATGGAGAGAGAATAAATTAGAAAGGGTCTCATGCAAAGCTGTTGATGGACAGAGAAGGGGTACCCATAAAGGCAACTTTTTCATTGGAAACATGAGCACCAAATGATAAGGATTCCAGATTGTCATCGATCGGTCACATTGTGCGTGTGGATTGTGCAGGTAGGGGTATATTATGTCACTTCCTTTGCCAAAATTGTAGGAGCTTGATCAACAAGTGAGAACCTTAATTAGCAATTAGCACTGTTAAATTCTTTCTACAAGTGTTTGCATGTGCATACACTTACTGGCAAATTACATTCATACTAGTCTACATTGTGAATAAAAGGTGATGGATTCGCTATTGCCATCATCTATGGTCAGATCAAGAGAACCTATTCAGTATCCAGTCCTTAGTCTTTGAAAGAATCCATCGATCGAAACGCATCTTCCCTAAGTTATGATGGCCATGGAATGGAAGCCAAAAAGGTGACCAGGCTCTCCAACTTGCAACAAGGGCCACCAGGAAAGGAAAAACAGTAGTGTCACAGCTTTTGAAATTGAAGGAAAGGCATATCTATAGAGATAAATTCTTATTGCACCGTGACGTGGATGATGATAAGGATTCCAAATATATAGCATCAGAAACATTTATATGTACCTCAACTCAAGGGATCAGTGCTGCTCAAAAAAGTTGCCTGAGCTGTTGTATTCAACAGGGCAGGGTCACCACAAAGGGCCTTTGCATATATCAGTACATATCCAAAGCCAATGACTAGGAACCCCTTTCAGTGCTCCTTCCCTTATAGCAGTAAGAGACAGCAATTGAATCAAGAAGAGAAAAATACAAGTAAACATTATAAACTACTGAAAGTAAGATTTGTTGAGTTACAGATATGTATAGTTTATCAAATTGTTTATTGGTATCCATCACATTTTCTAAAACGAGTCTCTTAAACCTAAAGACAGAATAAATATTTGCTTTCAAGACAGCTGCACTGTGTCAACCAACAGCAACAGACTGGCCGCATATTGCAATCAGATTCTACGAAAATCAAGCCGAAGAAAAGCATTGCCAACTGTCTGTAAGAATTGGTAGCTAGCTAGTATTGGAAATTTTGCCTGCACTCAGATACAAGTTCTGCAGGGTAAAAGATAAAGAGGGCATGTTTACCTGGCAATGAAAAACTAGTCTCATTAGTGTCTCAAGCATGGTCTCAAATTCTCAATGGTATTCTTGTAGTGTGGGGCAGAACAGTTTGAATGTGGTGCTTGGCCACGTTTAGAAATCATATCCTTTAATGTTGAATTGAAGCATATATATATATATGATATATAGATAATGCAAGCTGTAAACTATGGTCTATAGACAAGTTAGGATCAATGGTTAAAAAATGCTTCGCTTATTTTGGGTGTGCAATCCAGGTACGGAGTGAGAGAGTGGCACGAGGAGCCAGCTAGAAATGTTTTGGAAGGTTGTTCGATAAGAAAGTAACGACTAAACAAGTGAGGGCAGGGTTGGGTTGAGATTGACCACAAACGCAGAAAACGCCTGAAAAGATAGAAAGCAGAGTGATTTTTGTGTGTTGCGTACCCTCCTCATACAGTTCCATGGCATTCTTTCGTGAATATCAATTATCTATCTGGGCCGCATGGTGTGTTGTTGTGGTGAACCCGTGAATGCCAAAACTAGCACAGCCGCGGGATTTATTACCTGGACTGGACCCACCTCTAATGCGGTATTCATTTTACCGACATTGTAAGGAATGATTCAAGCATTGTTCTAGTCTAGAGAGGTACTTAATTTTGTTTAATATAGTAATGTATACCAGGTGAAATAATTAATCAAGTTGCAGGGGCATGTGCAAAAGTACCCTCTTGGTAAACTTCAGGTGCAAGTATTAATAATAAACTTAATGTACTTTGAAAGCTATTTAAGTTTGGTTTTTGAAATTTGAAGTCACACATTCCAGGTCATCTATATATACTGAAGTGCTTTTCTTGCTAGCTGCAGCTACATCTATACTGAGAAGCTACCAATCATAAAAACTGACAAGTAATGAATGGAGATCTATTAGCTAGATTTATTGAATAGCCGATTTGAAAATGACTTACAAATGGCACACCCCAAAATAACTGAAATTTTTGCCTATAATGGGTGAGAAGCATTTCTTCTTGCACGTAAATCATGCCTATTCACATTGGGATTAGGTGCCATCCAACGACCATCAATCTAATGGTAGATATATCAACCGATGTGAAAGTTCATAACATTAATCAAACATTATATATAAGAGAAACAGTTATTCACACTCCCAATTTGTCATTATGAGTATCTTCAAAATTAATATTTTAATATTCTATAACGGTCACAAAAAGAATACTCTATGACAAAACAACGTCATTGAAATTATACGTACATATTCTTTAGTAAATTCCTGAACTAGAATGTGGTAACGGATGGTGAAAGTATGAGGTTTACGAGAAGAAATATGCAAGAAGAAATTGTGAAGTGGAAAGAGGGACATCACTTTTCTTGTGTAAAGGAAAGTCGGCATGGCATGCATTGAATTACATATTCTTGGGGTTTAAGCCTAAAATCCAAAAACCCATGAAATAAATATTACCTGGAAAGTGAAAAAGAAAACCACGTATGTTATTACAAAGCCCCTCATTGTTTTGCAAGGAAAGAAACAGCTGCGCAACCAAAACCCAACTCGACCCCACTCTCTCTCTCTCTCTCTTCCCTCCTGTATATAAAGAGCAGCGCTGCCATTCTCTTTCTGCTAAAAACTAAATCAACCCCATTTCGCATTTCCTCTCCTCATAACCATTATAATACATAGTGTTGGATCAGTTGTCGCAATGGCCTCATCGGGATCGTGGACGTCGAGGCAGAACAAGATGTTCGAAAATGCCCTAGCTGTTTACGACAAGGACACCCCGGACCGCTGGCACAATCTGGCGAGGGCTGTGGGTGGGAAATCAGTGGAGGAAGTGAAGAGGCACTATGAGATGCTCGTGGAAGATGTCAACAAGATTGAGGCTGGTGAGGTGCCCTTGCCCAATTATAGAAAACCTGCTGCTGCTGCTGGGAACGGCAAAGCCTACTCTAACTCCATGGATATCGAAGAACAAAGGTATATATATCAATCTCATAACATTATTTTAATGTTTGATTACAATTTTCTATTAATTTCTTGGTCTGCATTTGTTGCTTAAGGTTTTATTCTGTTTTATTTAATTGTTTTTTATCATAAATACTTTTGGAAAATGTAGCATTACTCTGAATACTATTTTTTTCCATGCAGGATGAAGAGTCTAAAGCTACAATGAAATGAAGGTTCTCATTAGAAAAAGAGAAAGAAAAAAAGCTACAAGGAAGGAGAGAGTAAACCAGAGTTCGTATTTCTTACAGAAAAGAAAATGCGGAACTTCTACTAGTAGTGGCTATATAAGACAACAACAAAGAGTCAAATGTGATTAGTTTCATTTCTTGCTGTTTATTTTCCCTTGTCGAATGTGTCATATTATATATATATATATATTTTCCTTTGCAGCTCCTTTAAATGTACTGAGAAAATTGAAAAATGTCATTTTGGTGGTCACCTTACTCACTTGTGGTGACTGCAGTCTCTTTAGTATATCTAGTGTTGTTTCAATGAAGGAAATGGAGTGTTTGTACGAAAAACCTTCTTTTTATTTCACACAAATCGTAAACGTGCGAATTATGTTTTTAAACTTCTCACGTTAATTACTGACATGATGACATCAATATATACAGAATCATTGCTTTCATGGAGGTTCATTCAGAGCCGTCCAAGGTGGAAGTATCAAAACTAGGCCACTTTTGAAATGTCGGAAAGAAGTGACATGAAGAAAAAAGCACTTGGAAATTTGTAAATTGGTCGTCATCCCCAAACAAAATTAGTGTTAAATATTTGACTTGGTGACCCTTCTTGCCCATAACTTATATGTAATAGAGATGCACTATTACGGCATCTCAAGCTTATCACACAATGTCATTTTGAAAAGTTGTATTACAATATCATAAAGTTAAAATATATGATAATGAATGATTGACTTGAGATAACGTCAGTGGTATCCCCAGTATAGGTAAGTTTTCCCATTCATGCCAGCTCTTTCATTATTTCATATTAATGACACTCAATGGGAGCTTCTTCGTTATGCTAACTAAACAACTTATTTATATTTTAAAGTGGTGTCAGGGATCCTTGAGAGAAGATACAAACTTACATGATGAGCCACTCTCTACTTGACTTACAAGATTTCCATAATTAAGTGATAGATCTATTTTTTTTCAAAGCAAATATCCAATTTATATGATTAGGTAATTATATCATTTTAAACCCAAATTTTTACTAAGTTCCCAAAATTTCAAGACTTCCAATTATTATATAGCAGTTTTATTTGAAATTAGTAAATCATTAAAAAGAGAAGAAGAACCATTAGAAGAAGAGGAGCTAGCTGAAACAATAAATTTTATTTAACAATTACCCTTATTAAGAAAAATATTTACAAAGTTATCCTGATTTGCCTTTTTCTCCCACGGAACTGAGCTGACAAGGCTCGGACATTTTTTAGATCCGCCAATATCCATTGGGCCACATTGACTTGATTTCAGGCGGTCCATTCAAACCGATTTGGGCTCGGTCCCAAGAAAACGTTAAAAAAAATCGAAACGGCCAATACGACCAATTTGAATTCGTCGTACTTTGCACAACAGTGACTCGTTAGGGTTAAATGCCAATACGGCGTCGTAAAAAGGGGCCTGAATGAGTAAACGGTGTGAAAAAAGCCAACCCGCTTTGGCATTTCCTCGTGTCCGAGCCCCATATCAACTGCTTCTTCCAAGTTCGAAGGCTCGGAGTGACTCACTGATTGACTGCCATGGAAGCCAATTCTTCTTCGTCTTTCAAGGTTCGTCACTCTTCTTGCAAAAGTACCAGTTTCTTGCTTCTCATTGCACAATTTGAAGTTCGAACTATATAGCTAGGGTTTCTATGCGTTTCTCGTAGTTAATTGCGGTTGATAACGAAGCTTTAACAATGGTTAACAAAATTGAAAGGAGGTCACATTGCAGAATATTAGGGCACTGTTTGGTTTCAGCTCCAAATACGCTTCTCCGAAACAGAGTGTTGTATTATGATTAGGAAGAACAGATGGACCTGAAAAGATTAGTTACTCTTAAGATGAGATTAGTTTCGTTAATGTGAAACTTGTACTCGTTTCCACTAAACTTTGCTGCTCGGAGATGATGTTAATGTGCGTGTGCGATTTTTCAGATAATTTTAGGCTCAGCTTCGGTAGCACGTCGGAAAATATTGGCTGAAATGGGATACGAATTCACAGTCATGGTACTGCCAATTTTAATTTTCCATCTGAAAGATCCAGAATTATCTTCCCTTCTGATTTTAGAAAGTAAACTCCCTTTATTACTAGACTGCAGACATTGACGAGAAATGCATCAGAAAGGAAAAGCCAGAGGAGTTGGTTTTGGTTCTTGCCCAGGCAAAGGTTTGGTCTTCTTTTCCTTTCCTTATTTTTTTCTCCATTAAGAATCTAAAACTGAAAATGCTAGTCAGCTAAAGTTAGAATGTTCTTCTTTTAGTTGATATCAGACTGATGCTCTTTTATGGGTTGAATGCAAACTGCATCTCAGGCTGATGCTATTATATCCAAACAACAAACTATCAATAATCAAGAGAAGGATGCTGAACCGACTATTGTGATTGCAGCAGACACAGTATGGCGTTTTTTATATTATAAATTATATATACATCTATATATCTGCTATGATCTCCCTGTTTAACAATAGAAGGCATCAAAGACTGGTATCACCTAGTGACATTTATGGAGGATGCATTGGCTTTTTGGTTTTTGATAGTGGTTGAGAAAATAAAGCAAGATGCTAATTGGTTGATCCTAATATTATAATTTTGTTATGCCCAACTACTTCATCCATGTAAGTTTAGGTGTTTTTTTTGCTTGTGTATAAGTGTCTGCATGTGCACGTGTTGTGTTTACTGCATACTGTTATTAATGTATTGGCATTGTCTCAATGAAGCCCTGGTTTCTGGTTGAAATAGAACTGACTTACCTATCTTAGCTGATGGAAACTTCTCAGGCAGAAGCTAATTCACAAAGGCTCCCAGTTGGTGACTACATAAAGGATGACGAACCAACGCTATTAATTACTTCTGATCAAGTATAAATCACATCTTATATAGCATATTTATAGTGTCGGTGTCCTTGTCATGTATGCTTTGCATATTTAAGCTTGTGGAGAATACACCAAAATGCATATATGGAACTTTTGCCATACCTACCTCTTCCTCAATATCCTGAATAGGGTAAGGCAGAAAGTAAGACGATAGATTTAAGTAATGTTTTGATGTCAGTTATTTTAGATTCTATGGACAGAGAAACTTCCTTCGAAGGACGCATGACATCATGACACTGTTAATCACTTAGCATAACTTCATTTTTGGCCATGTTTACTTGTTCGTTTTGATTTTTTATGCATGAATTGTGTGAAGCTCTCACTTTCTGCTCCTCATGCTGATTCTTTATGTAGTATTATATCTTATGTTGTGGATGCCTCCAAACATCACCTTTGCCATACCATGAATTTTTTGTGCCCACAGGGCTTGTTGTGTCCTTCAACATAAATGGTCCCCTGGTGATATGACTTGTTTGTTAAAATAAGAATTTAGAAATTTTCCCTTTATGAAGCAGTGAATGTTAAATCTGTTATTTCTTACTCTTATTGTAAAATGATCTGGAGGTGGTGGTCTATGAAGGTGTGATCAGGGAAAAACCATCCAGCAAGGAAGAAGCACGTCAATTTTTGAAAGGTGGGCTTAGTGGTTGATTTACATTCTATGTCCCTGATGTTTTACTTCTTGACTCGGGTAATTTTCCTAACATGAATTGCAGACTATTCTGGAGGACATGCAGCAACAGTGGGATCTGTGCATGTTACAAATCTTAAAACTGGATTCAGTAAAGGAGAATGGGATCGAGTGGAGGTACGTTTTGCTTCTTTTTCATCAAACTTTTATCTTTATTTAAAGTGTTTTTATTTGTTTTTATTCTTCTCATGTAGCTTCTGGAACATGAAATTGAATAGTTTACTAGCACCATTATGCCAATGCTTAGCCAAAAATGTCTACAAGTAGATCAATCATATCTAGGGATAATATCTATTTGGGATTCCTTGCAGATTTATTTCCACGAAATACCAGATGAAATCATTGAGAAGCTGGTAAGAGTTGTTCTGTATCCAATTTGGACTTTTAACTTATTTCCTTGATTGGTGAGATGATGACAATAGCACCTTTTGCTTCTTCTTTGTCCACGCCAGATTGAGGAGGGCACGGTGCTCAAAGTTGCTGGTGGACTCATAATAGAACATCCTCTAATTCTTCCCTTTGTTAAAGAAGTGGTTGGTTTTCTACTCTGTGTTCCAAAGTTGTAAATAATAGTCATAGAGGCATTTTTCAGGAGAAGCACAATGGCGCGTGTTATAATTATGGTACCCTGTGTCCATTTCAACAGTTTTTTGTGTTGTCTTTTCATCCAAAACCTTTTGTTTAATGAATCCTGCAAGCTTGTCCCTTCATGGTTCGGTTGGTGGGCAAGTATATGATCCCTTTACTAGGAATGGGGCCCTTTACTCTCTACTGGATAATCAGCCGTATGTCTCTTGATGGGTCGTATTTGAATTGGTGGCAGGTAGGGACAACTGATAGCGTGATGGGACTTCCCAAAGATCTCACTGGGAGGCTGCTAAAAGAGGCCATCTAGCTGCAGTGGAGCTTCACGATTTGGTTGTTCGACTTCTGATCAGCTCCTGTTCGTATCTATTGTGAACTATGGTTGTTTCTTTGATTTTCAGTGATGAGATTATTAATTATCTTTTCGGCTTTCCAAAGCCTAGGATAGGACTAATTATATATTATAAAGCAAAATTGCATCGTTACCCCAAACCTAGCAGAGGAATTGCATTTTAGGAGGCACCGAGCAAAGCGATTATGGTGCGAGAGAAAGAGCCAGTCATATAGGATACTATTAGAGGAGAGCGTGGTAAAAGGACAATGTACAAGGTCAATCTGTTAGAGAGGGCCATAGTGCGAATAAAAGCACATGGGTCTGTCTTAAAAATTGCATTGAAAAATGTTAGGCGGATTCTTTAATTTTGGGCTGCACAAGTCGCGGGCCTCCCTATATTGGGCGAGTTGGCACCACACGCCCTTTATGCATACTTGTGGTATGCAGGACCCAATCTGTACGGTACTGGAACCTCAAATTCAAACTAGAAAAGAAACAAGCTCCTCCTCCATCCATGCCAACTCAAAAGAAAAAAAGAAGGGAGATTCCCTATAAACCCAGTATAAGCACTCAAATTATGAAAAAAATTCTATGTTAAATGGATTTTAAAAACACACCTCAAGTCTATTTACAATCTCACAAAGAGGTTTTTAACTTCTTATAAATTACAAAATTGCCACCGATTTCTTAAAACAAATTCAACTCAAAACCTCATAAAAAAATCAAAAACACTCAATAGGACATTAAAGTAATTTAATAATCAAAATTAAATTAAATAAGAGCAATTTTGGGGTTTGTTTATAGACATTAAAAATGAGACGCCAACCAAAATAAGAAAGCTTTAATATGATAAATTCAAGTGTTTATTATATACCACTACTGGTAGTTTAGTATAGTTTTATTTGGTTAGGTAAAGTAAAGCCTCCTCTTTGGGTTTGCGTAGTTTGATGTTGTGCTTTCTTCTCTAGAGCATATTTTGCATGATGACAGATTAAGTCGGGCTTTGCCTCAAATGTTCTTTTTAAGTTTCTTTTTCTCCTGGGGTGTGCCCCGCCATGTAACGAAAAAATAAAAATAAATAAAAATTTCAATTTTTCGTTTACTTATTTAGGTACCTTGTCTAGCAAATCTTTAGCCTCTTTTTATTTAAATAAATTTTTTTAAAAATATTAGTCAAGGCTGGGCAGGGGCATCAACTGGGCACCAGCTATTCGTATATTCCAGTTTTCCCACGTAATAGTTATTTAACCGTCAATATCAAGCACTCCATTTCTCAACTCCATCATTGAGCTGCTGAGTCTCTCTCTCTCTGTCTCTCTCTCTCTCTCTCTCATGATCTAATCATCATCGTCCCTCACCACACCACACCACACAAAACCTTCACTCCCTCCCTCCTCGCCTTTTTTTTGTTTCCAGAACCTCCCTCCTCGCCTTTTCGGAGCTGGGAAAAGTCCAACCCCTCCGGCCTCCCTCATTATTATATTATTTTCCCAATTTGACAATTCCCACATTTATATACACTATAAAATACACACTTCAAAACGCTCTGTTCGCTCCTCTCTTCTCCTCTCCAATCACAACGAAAGCTACAGCCCTCTTTCCACAGAGACAAAGCCACGCCACGGCCATGGACCCAGGCGGCGCAACCCATGTCGCCACCGCCTGCAGTGGCTCGACCGCCGGTCAGGTCGGCGTTCAGATCCACCAGCCCCGACGCCTCCCAGATTTCCTCCAGAGCGTCAATCTCAAGTACGTCAAATTAGGGTACCATTACCTCATCTCCAATCTCTTAACCCTCTGCTTCATCCCCTTGATTATCGTAACCCTAATCGAAGCCTCCCAGATGGACCTTTCCGACATTCAGCAGCTCTGGCTTCACCTCCAGTACAATCTCGTCAGCGTCATCATCTGCTCCGCCGTCCTCGTCTTCGGTTTGACCGTTTACATCATGACCCGACCCAGACCCGTTTATTTGGTCGATTACGCTTGCTATCGCCCTCCCGATCACCTCAAGGCTCCCTACCACCGTTTCATGGAGCACTCCAGGCTCACCCAGGACTTCGACGATTCCTCCCTTGAGTTCCAGCGCAAGATTCTCGAGCGTTCTGGCCTCGGCGAAGAGACCTACGTCCCCGAAGCGATGCATTACATCCCTCCCAGGCCCTCCATGGCCGCCGCCAGAGAAGAGGCGGAGCAGGTCATGTACGGTGCTTTGGATAATCTGTTTGCCAATACCCATGTCAAGCCTAAGGACATTGGCATTCTTGTTGTGAATTGCAGCTTGTTTAATCCGACGCCGTCTCTATCCGCTATGATTGTTAATAAGTACAAATTGAGGGGTAATATTAGGAGTTTCAATTTGGGGGGAATGGGTTGTAGTGCTGGGGTCATAGCCGCTGATCTTGCTAAGGACTTGTTGCAAATTCATAGGAATACTTATGCTATTGTTGTCAGTACTGAGAACATTACTCAGAATTGGTATTTTGGGAATAAGAAATCTATGTTGATTCCCAATTGCTTGTTTCGAGTTGGGTGCTCTGCAGTTTTGCTCTCTAATAAGTCTGCGGATTGGAGGCGGGCTAAGTACAAGCTTGTTCATGTTGTGAGGACCCATCGTGGTGCAGATGATAAGGCTTTTCGTTGCGTTTACCAGGAACAGGATGATAAGGGGAAGACTGGTGTTTCTTTGTCCAAAGATTTGATGGCAATTGCTGGTGGGGCGCTTAAAACCAACATCACCACTTTGGGTCCTATTGTGCTTCCAATAAGTGAGCAGCTTCTTTTCTTTTCGTCACTTGTGGTTAAGAAGCTGTTCAATGCGAATGTCAAACCTTATATCCCGGATTTCAAGCTGGCATTTGATCATTTTTGCATACACGCCGGAGGAAGGGCTGTGATTGATGAGCTGGAGAAGAACCTGCAGTTGCTACCTATACATGTGGAGGCTTCTCGAATGACTCTACACCGGTTTGGGAATACTTCATCGAGCTCCATTTGGTATGAATTGGCCTACATGGAGGCCAAGGGGAGGATCCGCAAGGGCAACCGTGTCTGGCAGATTGCCTTCGGTAGTGGCTTTAAGTGTAACAGTGCGGTCTGGGAGGCACTTCGGAATGTGAAGCCATCTCGTAATGGTCCTTGGGAAGACTGCATTGACAAGTATCCCGTGAAACTAGTTTCCTAGCTCGAGTAACATTCTTCTGGTTAGACTCTCTCCATTCCGGGTATCCATCAGTACTAGCCTAACCACTCTATCTTGCATTTGTCACTTCTTGATTTGTACTTTATTTGGTTTTGTTGTATTTGATACTTGATGTCAAATTGTGGGTTTTCTCAACTTGATGATTCTCGCATATGTTTCAGTGGTTTGTCCAAGGGGTGTTACAGTATGTAGCGTTGCTGCTCCTGTATTGAGATCAATGCTTCAGAATTACCATGTTGGATGATCCTGTATCTCTAATTTTTTTTTTTGTTAACATTTAGAGTTTAGTTTAGTTTTTTTTTAATTTTTAAAATTTAGTTATTCAACTTGTATCAGAAGCCTCTTGTCTTCAATAGTCAATAAAATCAATTCATTCAGATGAACATTGTGCGGATGGTATTAGAGTTTTATATTATTGGGCCTTTCTGATCTTGTTCCCTCATTATACAAACTCTGCTGGTCTTGAACTCTTTGGCTGTTAGGCTCGGGGTGGGAAGCAACCTTAGAAATACACACACACACACACACACTCTTACAGACACATGATTATAATCTCTGAAGAGTAAGAGTTGCACCTTGTATTGATTACTTGAAGTTTTATAGTTAGGGCCTGCCCACTCTTGTCTGCTTCGCATAGTTTACTGCCATTGCTAGTGGAAGAGAGTTTATGTACAAGAAATTGACTGCTTGGGAAGGATTTTGCAAGTTTCTTGCCATCCGGATTCTGAAGCTGTTCAATGTTCATTTATTTCTCTTTCTCCAATTAAGTTTCAAATAGAAGTTGTTTGGAACCTGATAAACTGTGTTGCCTGGAATAGCAATTGAGATTGTGAACCTTGTCAAGAGGAGGATGGCATTGGCATTTTGTTGGCATTAGCTGTTTTTTTACATATTTGTGTGGTACAAATTACAATACAAGTAGGTTTGGTCGCATTTTTTGACTAATTTGGGCTTTATGGTGTTTATCCTGAAAAGAGTGCAATTGTTGCACATGCTCGCTCAACCTGCTTCGAGAGGGGACCCAGGAACATAATTGAGGAAAGCCACAGTATGAATTTGAAACCCTTTTTTTCTTCTTTTTCAAAATATAGAGAAAGGAGACGTGTGTTTTTGTTTCTCGAATGGGAAAGGTGTATGGCAGGCTGCACATGCCCTGTCCATATAGACTCTAGATTCTTCTGCTGTAGCCTGTAATGTTGTCACAAGAACTGCTTTATTTTATCAGGGTCCCTCCCTGGTAGTGTATGTTTGACTGAAGCAGGATTTACTCATCTGGTCTACAAGAAGAGTGGGAATCGCGCTACGAAAAAGTTCATGTCAAAGTATTGGTCGTCGACGGGGTTTCAATTTGATTTATAAAGAAGATTTTGTTTTGTCTGCGATTTCAATTGCAAAACTTCACATTCAACTTTTTTGTTTTTGATATAAGTGATACTGGGGAGCGGGAATTGAACTTAGGACCTTATGGAATAGAGATAAATGCTCTTAACCATTTGAGCAAAACTTAGGATCTTATGAAACAAAATCTTAACCACTTAAGTTATGAGTTCTTTGCTTCACATTCAATCTTTAAACATACAATTGGTACCTATTTATTTCGATCCAAATCCCAGTCATTCCATCGCAACCCAAATGAAAGCAAGCATTGCACTGCTGATATATCAAATATGTAGCTGTTTACCTATGTGTGTTGGCCCCAAATGAAAGCAAGCATTGCAGTGCTGACATATCAAATATTAATTGAACATGTAGCTGTTTATCTGTGTTGTGTTGGGTTGTTTTCTTTGTTTCTCTCATCTTCATCGAAATGAATGGTCCATAGTGATGTAGAACATATGCAAAAGCAATCGAAGAGGAGTTGGAGAGACGCGCATGCAAGGGTAAATCAGGCAAACTGCATATTTGGGCTCCGAGCTCAAAATCGAGCCCATGATCCGTCGATTTGAAGAGAACGGAATCACGAGTAAAACTCATGGCATAGCCATGAAATATGAGATTTTTCCGGCATCCAAGATCGTTTAGCAGCCTGAAATTTAGTTTTAAAGTTTTTACAGTTTTTGGAAACTTTGTTATTTTCCTATTTTAATTCATTGTTTATTCCTAGGGTTTATAGGAGTATTTAAACAAATTTTACCCCATGGTTCCAATTTATCAATAAACCTTGAGGTTTCCTCATATTTTTTGAGTGGATTTCAAAGTTACATGTTTTAGGCTAAAGTTTAGCTAATAAATTGTCATGCTACGTCAGTTGGCATCAGAGCATGTATGGTCGGCTCGGTGAACAACCCAGATGGAGGTGATGGGACCCATAGCACATGGGAAGTTGTTACTCATGCCAAGTTTGAGACCCTGTATAAGGCAGTGGAAGAGGTTCGGCATTTATTGTTAGACATGGGAAACCAAAGCTCTCCATAACCTAATGGAGGTGCCCATATGCAACGTCCCGTTGTTGAGAGATGTCCTCTTTTTGAGAGTGACGATGAGTCTGAAGAAGAGCTCTGTAAACAAACCCTAATTGCACATAATCAGAATAATTGTAACTAATACATGGACGATTTTTGAATTAAGGCTGATATTCCATACTATAATGGCCTACAGATTGAAGACATTCTTGATCGGTTGGTAGAGGTGGAGCGTTTCATCAAGATTATGGAGGTTTCATAGACGAAGATGGTGAAGATTGCTGTTTTTCGTGTGATGGGTAATGCAGCTGTACGGTGGGACCAACTTCAACAATCGCGTCAGCGGCAGGGTAAACAAGCAGTGAGGACTTGACACCGTATGAAGCAACTGATGATGGGGAGATTCCTATCTGCTGATTATGAGCAACACCTATATTGACTCTACCATAATTACCAACAAGGTAATCGAATCGTTTCTGAGTATACATATGAATTTTTACATTTGGCTAAGCACAATAATTTGGAGGAAACACATGGTCACAAGGTATATCACAGAGTTGAAAAGTTTTCTGCATGAGAAAATTGGGCTTCAGACTTTATGAACAGTTCATGAGGCACATAATATGGCGTTGAAGCATGAATTACTAGAAAAAGAAAAGCGTAGTTATGAATCATCTGCTTCATCTATGGAGAAAAATAAGGGTGTATAGCAGGTTCCTAGGAGAGTGATGAATAGAGGAATTTTACCCTATACGACGAAGGTAGTAGCAAAAATTAGGGAAAAGATCGTAAACAAAGGAACAATCCTTATGCTAGGCCGACGAATGATATCTGTTACAGATGTTCCAAACCAGGCCATCACTCCAATGAGTGCCCAACCCTTAACAAACAGGTCAATCTAGCTAAGGCGACTGAAAACGGAGATGAGGAGGATAATATTGATGATGATTACGAATGAGTAGAATTTGCGGTGATGAAATGGTAAATTTAGTGCTACAAAGAGTCCTCATATCCCTAAAACAGGAGGCGGGGCAACGTAACTAGATTTTCCGTTCACTTTACACCATTGAAAATAGAGTGTGCAATGTGATTGTCGATAGTGGTAATTGCGAGAATCTACTGTCCAAGAAATTGGTTGATTATTTACAACTTTTAACACAGAAACATGAGGCTCCGTATGCATTGAGATGGGTGAAGAAATGACCAGTAGTTCAAATGACAGGAGTGTGCAAGGTTCTTATCTTCATTGGCAAGCATTACAAACAAAAAATTTTGTGTGACATGATTGATATGAATGCTAGCCATGTGTTACTAGGGCGTCCTTTGCAGTATGATATGGATGCTACACATAAAGGATGTGATAATGTGTACTTGTTCAATTAGGGTTCCCATAAAATCGCTATGGCTCCTATTAATGATTCTAGAAAATTGAAAAAGCATAAATAAATAAATAACCTCGAGTTTTTTGGTGATGTCGAACAACGAGCAAAGGTTTGAGTAATATATTAAAGAAGCTGATGTCGTATACCTTGTGTATGTCAAAGGGTTGTTAGCTGCCTTGTTAGAGGGTGTGTCTTGTCCCAGAGAGGTAAATAAAATTTTAAATGATTTTCATGATATAATTTCAGATGATTTACCTAATGAGCTACCACCCATAAGAGACATACAACATCAAATTGATTTTGTGTCAGGAGCTAGTTTTCCCTAACGAGAATGAGATTCTCATAAAGAAGATAGAAGATTTGCTGCATAAAGGGTTTATTCGAGAGAGTATGAGTTAGTGTGCAGTCTCTGGATTGTTGGTACCAAAGAATGACAGTACATGGAGCATGTGTATTGATAGTCATGCAATCAACAAAATCACCATCAAGTAGAAATTTCCAATTCCATGCTTAGAGGACATGTTGGATGTTTTGGAGGGCTCTAAAGTGTTTTCCAAAATTGATTTGAGGAGTGGTCACCACCATATTCAGATCAAACCTTAAGATCAGTGGAAAAAAGCTTTTAAGAGCAAGGATCTATTGTTTGAATGGTTGGTGATGCCATTTGGATTGCAAACGCACCGAGCACTTTTATGAGACTTATGAATAAGGTTTTGCATCCCTTTATTGGTTTATTTGTTGTAGTTTATTTTGATGATATTTTGATTTACAGAAAAACCAAGGAGGAGCATTTGATACATTTGAAGGAGGTTTTGAAGGTTATGCAAGAGAACAAGCTGTATATTAACCTGAAAAAGTGTACTTTCATTACAAATAAGTTACTTTTCCTGGGTTATGTCGTTAGTGTAGATGGTATCCACGTGGATGAAGATAAGACGGGAGCCATTCGAGAGTGACCTACCCCTAAAACAACCAGTGATGTGAAGAGTTTCCATGGCCTTGTAACCTTTTACAAGCGTTTTGTAAGACATTTTAGTACCCTGATCGTACCAATTACTAAATGCCTGAAGCTTGAAAAATGTAATTAAGATGAAAAGCAAAAGCAAAGCTTTGCCCCCATTAAAGAAAAGTTGAGCACAACACCGGTTCTACCCATTCCTAACTTTGAGAAGATATTTGAGGTCAAATGTGATTCGAGGGAAGTGGGTGTAAAAGCTGTTTTATCTCAAGAGAGTAGACCGGTTGCATTTTTCTTAGAAAAACTTAGTGAAGCACTCCAAAAATAGAGCACTTGTGACTAGGAGTTTTATGGAGTGGTTCGAGCCCTGAAACAATAGGAACATTATCTAGTGCAGCGGGAGTTTGTGTTTTACACTAACTACCAAATCCTTAAATTTATCAACAGCCAGAAGAGTGTGAACAAGATGCATGTTAGGTGGGCTACTAATTTGCAGAAATTTCCTTTTATTATTAAACATAAGTCTAGGGTTCTTAACCGTGTAGCAGATTCGATGAGCAACCTTGCTTGTTATTTTGGCTTAAGAAGTTGTAGATTTTGAATTTCTGAAGAAACTTTATGAGACTAATGAGGATTTTTAGGAAATTTAGGCTAAGTGTGTTTGCAACAAGTCGATGACAAATTATCATGTTAATTGGGGGTATTTATTTAAGGGCAATCAGTTGTGCACCCCTATTTCTTCTTTAAGGGAGAAACTGATTCAAGATTTGCATGAAGATGGATTGAGTGGCTATCTGGATTGTGATAAAACCATTGCTAGTATGGAAGAGCATTATTTTTTGCCACACTTGAAGCGAGATGTCAATACGATTGTGCGAAAGTGCTACAATTGTCAGGTATCTAAAGACCAATCCTAATATACTGGCCTTTATATGCCTCTCTCTGTCTTTGATGATATTTGGCAAGACTTGTCTATGGATTTTGTTCTAAGACTCCTTCGTACACAACGAGGAGTCGATTATGTTTTTATTGTGGTGGACAGGTTTCCAAGATGGCGTACTTTATTGCTTGCAATAATACTGTAGACGCTTCTAACATAGTAAATTATTTTTCACGGAGGTTGTACAGTTGCATCGTGTTCCCAAATCTATTATGTCAGACCCTGACATCAAATTCATTAGCCACTTTTGGATCACTTTGTGGAGGATGTTTGGTACGGACTTGAATCGTAGTAACATCGCTCATCCCCAAACATATGGTCAAACTGAGGTTACCAATAGAACCCTCAGTAACATGATTAGGAGCATTTGCAGAGATAGGTTGAAGCCATGGGACTTTGTATTGCCACATGTGGAGTTCTCCTACAACAATGTTGTCCATTCTTCCACAGGAAAATCACTTTTTGTTGTTGTTTACAATTTGGTGCCTAAGCATGTGGTTGACCTGATTAAACTTCCAAGAGCCCATAATACTAGTGTAGCTGCTGAAAATATGGTTGAACAGGTTAGATTGTGAGGAAGAAGTGAAGGAAAAGCTAGAGAGACCAACACCAAATTTAAAACCACCGATGACAAGCGCCACCAAGTGAAGTTGTTCCAAGAATGAGACTTTGTGATGGTTTACCTAAGAGAGAACGTTTTCTTGGTACATATAGCAAACTGAAGCCTCGGAAGTATAACCCCTACAAAGTTCTGAAGAAGATAAACGAAAATGCCTATGTCGTGGATCTTCCTCCTTCCATGGGCATATCAAGCACTTTCAATGTTGTGGATCTACATGAGTTCCATAATTATGAGTCAATTTATCCTTATGATAAGGGTTTAGTTCTTCAGAAGTGGAAGAGATTGATGTAGAACATATGGCAGAAGCAATCAAACGAAAGCTGGAGAGATGCGCACTCATGGGTAAATAGAGCAAGTTGCATATTTAGGCTCCAAGCTCATAATCGGGCCCATGACCTGTTGATTCGAAGATAACGATATCACGAGTAAAACTCATGGCTTTTCCATGATGTATGAGATTTTTCAGGCATCCGGGATTGTTTAGACAAAATCCAATTGTAAAGTTTTCAGAGTTTTTGGAAACCTTGTTATTTTCTTATTTTAATTCTTTGTTTATTCCTAGGGCTTCTATGAGTATTTAAACAAATTTTACCCATGACTAGGATTATGTTTTGTTATTCCAATTTATCAATAAATATTGAGGTTTCTTCATATCTTCCCGATGGATTTCAAAATTGCATGTTTTAAACTAAGATTTAGCCAATCAATTATCACGTTGCATCACATAGACTCCATTCCTAAGTGGTGGGAGCCGGTCTTCATCGAAATGAATAATTGAACATGTATCAAAAAGTGACCCATTTTGATAATTTGATATACGGTTCTTCCTCCTTTTTTAACTTCTTTTTTTTCAGAAGATTACTTGTTGACAAGTCGAGGGCAAGGCCCAAGGGTATATGTAGGATTAGTAATTCATATCCACCGTTGACCAACCAATAAAAAAAGGTAATTCATATCCACCAGTCATTTGAAGGCACAGCTTCCTTTCCCCTTCACTTACAGGTTGTAAGATGGATGGATTGACTGTTTGGATGGTCCTTAACTTGTTATGAGGACCTCGTTTTCACAAATCATCCCGCCAACCCCCACACTAATCACCTGCCTGAGAAGATAAACCGTCTACTCAGGTGATGGGTATACTTGTTGGGTTTGATAAAAACTCATCGAGTTCTTACATACATAATAATATCATAGGATAAGAGGGCAAACTAGAAATCTGCTAGGTCGGAAAATTAATTTAATGAATTTAATAAACTATAAGACAATTGTTGTGAGTTTACAGCTACCTCTAGAAAGATAGTGACGAGCAATGAATGTAGCAATAGAACACCGACGGCTGGCTGAAGAAGAAGAAGAAGCCTGTTCTTATGTCACGAAAAGATTACAAAACGTGCACGTTTCACGTTGCACAATTTCTCTGGGATTATCTCAAAAAGGTAACTCTTGGTTTTTTCTTCTAACAGAAGGAAGAAAGCAAGTAATATGCAAGAAGGGGAAAGAAAACCTCATCTGAAGGAGAACTGAATCTCTTCCAGAGTTCTCCCTTTCGTCTCGGGAACCCAAATGGTTACAAATACGACAGTGAAAGCACTCACAAGCATGTAAATGGTGAAGGTTCCTGTTGAAAGTGGAAGCTGCCCATTAGCCCCAAATAATAACAAGAGGAAGAAAAAAACCACTAAATAATACAACCAAGGATAAAACAACATCATTCAATAAGTGGTTGCTCGACCCAATTATAAGGCAAAGTTTCTAATGCGTGTGTGTGTATGAGAGAGAGAGACAGAGAGAGAGGCACACCTCCGCTGCTCCATTCCAACAGCAAGTTTGCAGTCATCGTGACCACCCAGGATATGAACCAGTTGGCAAGTGTTGCTATGCTTCCGGCAAGGCCTTTAATATTAACTGGAAGAATCTGCATTACCAAATTCACATTTTATTGGATGATCCAATATATATATATATATATATATATATATTCTGCAGCAAGTTATTAGATCAAAATTTTGTACTCAATGCAAGACACTAAACACTACGCCCGACAAGAAATTCTAAAATCAAATGTTTTTTGGGATGGTCAGCAGCCAAAGAATAAGGCATGCACAGATGCATGATGACAAACTTATGAGTGAAAGTCTTATCCTTTCTTTTTTCTTTCTTGGTTAAATTCAAAATTGCAAAGTTACTTAAAAAAGTATTTGGCGAAAGGAATTTTGTATTGGCCCGAATATTATGCTAAAGTTGATAGTATGTGACTTCATGATGCCAAGTTTTCAAGCACATAGAGGTAAACAGGCAGAAGCTTCGATTGCAGAAAATTCATCTTCAGTAATATAATGAATATTTGCAATGGAGAAATCTTGGCATACAACGGATTCATCTGCTTCTCCAAGTAGAGTTTGGAGACAAAACTTGAAATATAGGAAACCAAACGTGCACTAGGACACATGTCGTACTGCTATGAACAAAGGGCATGTTGCAAACATTGCAGGTGAAAGAAATTGCAGGTATTGAAATTTGAAAACATAAGGGTTATTGCATATGAGTCTCTAGCAGACCTGCCAAGGGCAAGCAATTACCGTATCAACAGACTATATTATTGACATACCTCGGACATTATAATCCATGGAATAGCTCCTACACCCAGAGAGAAGAAAAGTACCATGGCCTGAAAGAATAGTGTAAGACAAAGGAATTATTAGTAGAAAAGGCCAAAAATGAATATGAGAGAACCAATGTTCTTTGAATTGTAATATTAAGAACATTAACATACCACAACTCCAACCACTGTTATGATGCCCAATATGCTAAAAAAATTTGAATCAGTTGCTACCAAATCCTGCGATCAGTGGAATTTCTTTTTTGAGAATATACACAAAACAAGCAAATACCCATAATATTTTTCTAGAAAACATGAAAGCTTTAATACCTTTAGAAAGAATGCTACTGCAACGATTAGGAGGCTAACTGTCATTCCAGCAGAAGAGATCTACGAGGAATTGTATAAAATTTATTCATTTCTTCTAGTCCAAAAGAATAATAAATTAATGACTCAACAGTGACAAAAAAATAATAATAATTCAATCTCACAATAAGCAGAAGTCGACGGCCTGCTTTGTCCACCAACCAAGTAGTCACCCCGGTGGCTATGACCTAAATGCATACAGATACTTGTTATGTTTACAACTTGAGAATATTGGGTGAGAGAAGAAACCAATTTTGAAGATTTTCTTGATGTACCTGAACAGCACCAAGGCCACATGTGGCTACATTACTTGATGAAATCCCTATTCAAAAACTAAAACTAATAAGAGTCATTTCAAATGAACAGAAAACCGACTTAAGTCTGTTTTCCTCTATAACATACATGTAATGCCTATCCGTGTCCTACATGTAAAATAATTTTTTTTTTTTTTTTTTTTTTTTTTTTTTTTTTTTTTTTTTTTTTTTTTTTTTTTTTTTTTTTTTTTTTTTTTTTTTTTTTTTTTTTTTTTTTTTTTTTTTTTTTTTTTTTTTTTTTTTTTTTTTTTTTTTTTTTTTTTTTTTTTTTTTTTTTTTTTTTTTTTTTTTTTTTTTTTTTTTTTTTTTTTTTTTTTTTTTTTTTTTTTTTTTTTTTTTTTTTTTTTTTTTTTTTTTTTTTTTTTTTTTTTTTTTTTTTTTTTTTTTTTTTTTTTTTTTTTTTTTTTTTTTTTTTTTTTTTTTTTTTTTTTTTTTTTTTTTTTTTTTTTTTTTTTTTTTTTTTTTTTTTTTTTTTTTTTTTTTTTTTTTTTTTTTTTTTTTTTTTTTTTTTTTTCTTAGGTGGGCACAATAATATTTATAAAAGATTCTTACAAACCATACCCCCAAAAGCAACCTTGCCACCAACCATTACCTACCCAATTAGCATATGTATATCTGGGTATTATCTACTAATATATATATGCATGGAATTAGATTAACTTAGTTACCTCTTCAGCTTTTCCTCTGTTTGCATTAGCACTTTTGGAACCATGAGGATGGTCTACCTCTGTGATGGCCCCTGCAGGCTCCTGTGGGATAGGCATTGAATTATTTAGAGTTTTGTGACAAGTGTGGCTGGTGTCTCATCTTCGACATTGAACCTTCCCTTCTGTGGCCTGTGTTTGTGCAAATAATCGCACAGAGAATTCGCTTCTAGATTCTTCAACCTTGGATCTTCCTTCTTTCTCCGTCTCAATTCCTGTAAAAAAGACTGGAGTAAATAGACCACACCGGGGGTGTTGGCTAAGGCCCTCCGATGCCTAAGTTAGTTCAAGTGTTTGTAGGAAACACATAGCTAAGGCAAAGGGTACGTTGTATGGATTGTGTGAACCGGGCGGCCGGAGCCGTGTGTGGTGGCCGGAGCCGTGTAAGACAATTGGAGAGTGAGAGGAGAGAGCGTCGGATATTTTTCTCGGTATTAGTAGTTGGTTTAGATGTACCTTGAATGATAATGAGGTCGTCTATTTATAGGAGCCTCGGGCTAGGGTTTCGTAGAGAATATGCTGAGTTTATTCTCTACCCAAATTCGTAGGGATCGAGTCGGACTTAGATAATATCTGATTTAATGATATTATCTCTCTTTATTGAAGATAAATTTAATTAAATGATATTATCTCTTTTTATGAAGATAATCAGATATTATCTTCTCTTTATTAGGATAATATCTAAATATTAATGTATTATCTTATTAAATAAAGGTAATATCCCATTAATTAAGATATTTTCTCCCAATTAATTAATTGGCAGATAAACTGGTTCAATTAATTAATTTAAGAGATACTCTCTTTTCCACGGGCGTGCTGGGATGATTGGAGACGAAAATATATGCTCCCACCAGCACCCCAAGAGCTCCTAAGAGAGACCAATCCCTCCCGGAATTCCAAATCGTTGCCGTCCTTAACTTGGTGGTGAGGGGTTCCTTGTCTTCTCCATAGCCCGTGTTCTTCTGCGGCAGTGGAAAGGGAGGGACGTACTCAAGGCCCCCCTCATCATGGCAGCCCCAAAATGTTCCTGTTATGTTGCTCAAGATTGCGTTCGAAACTAATAACTATCTACACCTAGTATGTAAAACAAAACATTGCAAGGCACGTTAGTGTGCTTCAACTAAATGCACAAAATACGCAAGTGAACGTTCCTGACAATGGTCCTCTTGACGATTCTAGTGCCATCAAGTATTTTTTGTTCCAGCCTTTTTCGCCAGCACTACAGGGTGTTTTCTCGTAGAGTGTATTGGGTCATACTATTGTGCTTTGATAGAATTGCAAAATCTAGACGTCGCAGTATACCACATAAGAGTTATCCCCAGCTCTCGTCCTCCTTACAGTTCCATCGCAACATCATCACAATGCCCTTACGGGTATATGCTAGCCATTAACAATTCCACTTTCCACACCTGGTTCATCCCTTCTTTGCTCCATCGCACAAACGGCTACGAGCTTTTTTCACTCTCACCTTTGTGGCAATACCGATATAATTGCCCACCTCACCCCATCCCTTTCATCCATGTTTGTCAAAAAAACCTCCTTCCCACTCCAAATTTCCACACTTTGCATACACGGCTAATATTGAATTGTTCACATGAATCAAATTACACCGAACGGCAATGTAATGTATCAATTTCGTTGGCCTCGATATTGAACAATTCTCATAGGCCTGCAATATCTTAAGGAACAAAAGTATCCGGCAAAACTCCATCTTTTCATCATCGAGAAAAAAAGCTACCTCTTTCCACCTTTGGTCTCTAAGACACGCACACAATCATGGCTGACCAAGTATACAAATTTCTCTCACGCATTCGTGAAACCCTTACGAGCATCACCAAAAACCCACATTTGCATGCTAAAATATGAATATGTTTGAAATGTATTAGGTTTTTCTTTATTCTCTCCATAAGGAGGTATATAGGAGTTTACATATGAGGGTTTTACACGGAATTATATAGTAAAAGAATTAGGAAAAAGTGTCTCATAATTGAACAATGTTTATCACTTATATAAAAATAGGAAAGTAAATCCCTTAATTTAATCAAGGTATAATCTCCTTGATACTTAGAGACCTCACGTCAACACTCCTCCTCAAGTTGGTGCATATATGTCACGATGCCCCACTTGGTAAGTGATCATGAAATACTCTCCCCACACTCACAGCATATGCAATCTGATCCTTGGAGGACGATGAAGAGTAGAACCTTTGGTGGTGGTGATAGAAGAGGAGTCTGGGTAGCTAGGTCAGCAATTGACTGCATGCTTCCGTGAGTCTGCAACAATGGGAAGCGTGGTTTCTTGACATCGCGCGGAAGTAGATGTGATATGAAAGGTTAGGAAGGTTTGTGAGAAATTTGATGTATGCATTGATTAAGAGGTTATGTGTTTAGGGATTTGGATTTGAGGATTTGAGGACTTTAGATTTGAGGGATTTGGATTTGGGGAAAAACAATGAGGCATTTGCTTTCGTTTTGGATCAAGGAGATTGACTTAGATTTTGGATATTTTAGCGACAAAACCACAAAAATGAGGAATGTGATTTAGGGTTTTTGGATAAAGTTTGGAGGCTTCGATTTGAATAACGATGTCGAGACAAACAACTTCTCTTCACTCCCCTCTCCCCTTGAAGACAGGGGTCGTCAGAGTCCAGAACAGCGACATCTTCTTGCATAGGAGACACGCATGAGACAACCGCTCTTGAGAAAACGCCACTATATGCCTTTTTCACTCCCCCCCCCCCCCCCCCCCTGAAGAGGAGGGGAGGAGAGCACTTTAAATTGCACGAAGAACTCAGCACAGGTCACAAGAGAACCTGGCTCTGATACCATGCTAAACTTATGACTATGGTTAGGGGGGGGGGGGGGGGGGGGGGGGGGGGGGGGGGGGGGGGGGGGGGGGGGGGGGGGGGGGGGGAAAAAAAAAATGAATGTATTCGTTTTCCTTTGCTTCTTCATAGGAGGTAGATAATAGGCGTTATATATGAGGGTTTACAAGGATAGATATGTAAAGAATTAGGCAATATATCTCCTAATTGTACATATTTATCACTTTATACACAAGTAAGTAATCCCTTCTTAATCACGAAGTAATCTCCTTAATTAATTCAGGACTCACGTCCCATAGCTACATGCTCCCCCCCCTTATCCCCACAAATGGGTTTATTTCCTCATTTATCAGAAATGCTCATGGAGCGTCCGACCCCAGCTGAATGGAATTGGTTTCAATAAACAAGATTGAGTAAATTCTACAAGTACGTGGTGGGCTACTCTTTTTGGCTATAGAGCAAGAACCCGATGTGCACTCGCCACCCTGAACTGGCCCATTCTGTGCCGACAACGGCGGATCCGGAATTTTTCAGGGAGGTGCAATATATAAAAGCTAAGATTTACAAAGGCATCAGTAGGCCCAGATTCCAGTCCTAATATACATGTAGTGGGTTAAAAAAAAATAAGGCTAAAAATCCAAAAAAAATTATACAACCACATGCCCTTAGTTTTACCCATACTAATGTCATTCATAACTAAAACAAATGAGAGTTTTTATCTACAACTAATTTTTATAGTCTATATGGATCTCCATTAGATGAACAAAATCTTTTTCACTGACACCATTAGTTTCCCCAAATTCATTCAAATATGAACAAAATCCATGTCATTACTAATTTAACTAACACAAGTCAACCAAATATCTAACCACAAGCACATTAATTGAGGTCATGAAACAAAGTACACATGATTAAAAGTTTGGGGTAATTTTTTGGTGACTTTGTTTGGCACACATATGATTTTTAATGAATTTTTAATTTAACCATTCGAAAAGACATGTGTCGGCTTCTATTAAAATTTCAAAGATCAAAATCGAACGCTGACGTCTGACGCGGATATTCTTCTTTCCCTTTGAACTATGACTCTGCACTTACTCAATATTGTAAAAAACTTCAAAATCCTACTTTTGGTTGTGGAGCTCCGCTTGATGACCGTTTTTCTTCTCCTACATGCTCCGTGAGATCGCGCCCAACAATCTAAGGTATCTTCCGGTCTCACAATGCCGCAAACAAACGACGTCTTTGAGCTTTAGTCGAAACCATTGGGGCACAGCAATGGCAAAATTACTGGCATCCCTAAGTACCGTTTCCCGGCGAGGGGAGGGTGTCAGTCTTGCAGAGATAGTTTTAAAATAAAACGAGTGCTGTGAATTTTTGGGAGAGTTTTCCGGGTAGAAAGAGCTTATGGGGTTTGGCGTGTCCTTATGAGAATTCAGATGGGTTGCCAAGTTTGTATGGTAGACTAGTTTGGAAGGGCTTGGGTTTTTCCATTGTTTGTGTCTGGCCTGGCGTGAAGCAAAGATTGAAGATTGCACGGTTGTGTCCTGGAGATGGAACCCAAATTGCAACGGATAGAGGGAAGGACTGATTCGGTTTGCTAAGATCCAGCCAGTAATATCTCGTCACGTTGAAGCATGGGAGGGCATTGGTCAAAAGTTGACGGCAGTTGTCATTACAAGTGGACGGCTTACATATGTATAAAGCGACGTAGTAGTGTACAAAAAAGCCTAAAACTAATACAGAAATTGCTAAACTGGAATTTCATATGTGAGCTACATTCTACTAAAACTATACGACGACGTCGCAGATGCGCCTCTTTCCTCATGTCGTCCTTCTTCTTCCTCGAGCAGATGCACCTCGCTGAGCCTTAAAGCATCACTTTATAGAGCCTTCGTATGCCTCACCGTCAACGTGCACGCTAAGTGTGCAAATAAATAAACAAGGGAACCCTGAGGTGATTGCTATCACCTCGCTCCGACGTGCGCTCCAAACATGCGCTTCGATGCGCGCCTACTATTCAAAGCAGGTGGGAAAATAACGAATTGACCAAAGTAATTTGACTAATTGAAATTTAATTATCACCAATGGTAATTTAATCCAAGACCCAAGATTTATTGGTTTAATATTTGCCCAATTTACAATCTCTTGACTAGAGATAGTTGATCACCACCGTTCTCAAACCATATTGGTAACCTTGAAGCTAGAAAGGTAAAAGCAGAATTCACTTTAAATCAAAAGCCATAACCATTGGCCTCCAGGAAAACAGGTTGTGTTCCTTTCATCAATATCCATGTAGTTTCATTAGCAGGATAATTGATCCCGATTTACAAAGAACGGGCAGGAGGCATTTAGGGAAATTGGTTGGCAAAGAGCCAAGACTCATCTTATTGTTCCAATTGGCTCTTGAACTTTCCATCCCAAATAAATATGGCATTGTAATTATATATATATATATAAAAAAAAACATTCATAGATAATTGGCATGAGGCATCATATGGGAACTAGTAGCTATATACATAAAGCATTCAGATGTCTTAAAAGAAAACCATAAAAGTTATAAACACTAGTGAAACAGAAAGGAGTTTCATAGTCTCCTCCACAGAGAATGATAGAAGTTAGGCAGTAGCAGTAGGAGTATCAGCAGGAGTGGCAGTGCAGTAGCATTATGACAGATAATTCGACAGATGTCTGGAAGCAGGAGTAGCAGTGGCCGTAGCATTAGGACCGAAGATTCAGACGTGCAGGAGTAGCAGTGGCAGTAGCATTATGGCAGATGATTCGACAGATGTCTTGACGTTCATTTTTCCAAAACAACAACAAAAAAGAAAAAACCACAACAAAAGAAAATAAAACAACAACCAAAGCACAACCAAATATTGAACTTTTCCTTTCAGCTCGTCTACTGCTTTTCTCATTTGCTTCTCGCTCTTGCCTCTCCACCCATCTTCTTATATCTTCCATTGAGAATGGAGTATGAATTCTAAACTCTGAGAAATGAAAATATAGAAAGATGTGGTGTGAGAGGTATGAGCTGAGCCTCTGGTTTTATAGAAAATTTTGGTCAGATAGAGATGCCACGTGGCTTGATTTGATAGGATGAAATCTTATCTGAAATTTGAAATTCATCCGAAATTTGAACCCAAAAATTTATCTGAAATTTGAATTTTGAAATTCATCCGAAATTTGAAGCAGGGAAAATCTTATCCGGAAATTTTAATCCGATTATAAATAGTCTTGACACATAAGAAACCCGAAAATATTATCCAAATTAATTATTGAGGTAAAAAAATTTGTGAAAAAAACAAAAAAAAGAATAGTAATTGTCCTTTGCCATGGCAACGGGTGGGAAACGGAAATGACTTTTTTTCAAGGGCAACCACTATTCACGTGAATAGTGGTGCCCTAGCACCCCCTTGCCATGGCAAAGGGCAAATGGGTGGAGTTGCTCTTATATTAAACTAATTCCAAGTAGTTGTAACATTGAATATTGGATTTTTCATAGAGACGATTCCCTCTGGTTATGATAATGAATTGATTATGATAATGAATGAAAAGAGACTGACAGTGAGAGGTGGTGTTTACATAGAGACGATTCCCTCTGGTTGTGAGATTGGATTTTTCTTCCTCTTTTTACCGAGAGACTTGGTTGATTCCCTCTGGTTATTCTTACCCGGTCTTGTGGTTTGCTTGATGCGTTTGTTCTTGTTGGTGATTGTTTTATCTTTGTCTTTCAATCAAGTTTCACTTACTAGCAAACAAACAAACCTAGATTTTGTGGAAATGGAAGATGATTCTTTGTGGAGCCCTGAAAAGAAAGGGAAGTTGCAGGATTGAGTTGAACTCTTCGGAGTGGTAATTATTGTTGATTATTAAGGAGTGTCAACTATTATAATTTATTTATTTTCAATGTGATGTGTCATCTTTCACGTTTTTAGATGAAATTTAAATGTGTCAACTTTCAAACATTTTACATATATTATAAATGAAGACGGATCTGGGGGTGGAGGCAGATCTGGGGGGCACCGGGATGAGATATGTGGTTAAGATGAGGGAAAACGTCGGAGAGAGAGAGACAGAGAGGCAGAGAAAGAGAGAGTGGGGCAATTTTTTAGCAGTAATTACATTTTTGGTCGCTAGGATTAGGGTTGGGATTAAATTCGCAGCAGAGAGATATTAGGAGCAAGGTGAGAGACGTCTATGAATTGAGCCATAATGATGACATGGCAAGGAAAATTGCCGCCCTCAACAAGAAGATGGATCCTATGATGTCCAAGAACGTCACTCCCAAACCGGTTGAGGTTTGTTCAATTTATAATGGTTTTGGTCATAATTTTGATTCATGTCCTAGTAGTGAATTTCCTGGATATGTGAAAGAACAACAAATTACAAGATGCATTTTAGCCGTCATGTAATCTTCCATGTACGGTTCTTACAAGTTATGTAATTTTTAATTGACACTCATTGTATGTCAAATAAATACAATATTGACACTTACAGCTATCAATGAAGTGTTACTTGATGGTTAAAAGGCATCAAGCAGAAAGATTACTTGACGGTTAAAAAAGTCAATAAATCGATCAATGTACTCTTGACAGTTTCTTAGCCGTCAATTTTATGTTTATAGACACTTTTTAGCCGTCACTAAAGGACGTTTTTCTCGTAGATGTTAATTGGTCATGATAGTTGTGCTTTGATAGAAAATTGCAAATATGCCCAAAGAAGACAAAAGGGAAAAAAATTATAAAAAAAGTACACGCGCTTGCTTGATAATCCACACTACTATATCCCAAACCACTAGCTAGTAATCTGGATGAAGTTGTTGGTTTATGAAAAAAAATTACATTAAATCATAAGAAATTTTCTACCTCCTAAGAAATGAAAGTATGTTCCTTATACCTGAAAAATAAATCAAAAGCAGAACTGGATTTTATTTCTAAATGTTGAGATAATGAAAAATAATTGATCAAAGACTATTGGAATTGCATATTTCGACCCCCAAAAAAAAATTGAAATTACGTATGATATGAACTCATTAATTATGAATTAATAAAGGGGGTCCTACTATCTGTATCCGACACATGCATATCATACCATGTTGATCTATATGTCTACGTATACAGTACAAAGGTTTAAAATACTCATAAAATAAAGCATCATTAAATTATAGAGAGCTACTAAGAGTCCTTTCTCTCTCTTCAGATTTAGGAGCTCCTAGAAATCTCCTATTTTTGGAGGTGGATAAGGAGTATAATTGGAGTTGTATTTTTTCAAATCTTCCCTAAAATTTGTCTAAGAAAATGGTTTAGGGAGCCCATTGTAGATGCTCTTAGGCACTGTAACCACACATCCAACCATGCTCCTTATCTAGCTCCTAAAATAAAGAGATATCTAGGAACTCATAATCTGATGAGAGAGAATGGCTTAACTTATGAGATTTTAGTATAAAGTATACATTGACTTATTGAGGTATCAATATTGGTATAAATTGTATTTATACTAAAACTGAATTTTCACATTTTGACTTGTTGGGGTGCTCCTTTCAGTTCGTGGCCTGGCCTGGAGGGTGAGGTGAAGCAAAGATTGAAGATTGCACGGTTGTGTCCATGGAGAGTGGAACCCAAATTGCAACGGATAGAGGGAAGGATTGATTCGCTCCAGCCAGTAATATCTCGCCACGTTAAAGCAGGGGAGGGCATTGGTCAAAAAGTTGACGGCCAGGTTGTCATTACAAGTGGACGGCTTACATATGTATTAAACGACGTAGTACAAAAAAGCCTAAAACTAATACAGAAATTGCCAAACTGGAATTTCATAGTAAGAAAAGGACACTCAGGAGAAATATAAATTGTACGACAAAAGCTTGTTATTTAATTTTTGCTGTGTGAGCTCCAATTATGGCACTGAGACATAATTTTGAGTTTCAGTGTTTATGGTTTATGGCAGTATCAATGTCATGGAGGAGCCAACTTTGGACGAAATGCTGGAGGCCCATTCATTACAAGTTTACAACCACAGTTATGACTATGATGCTCCCATTAATGAATATGGTAAAACCTTTAAGTTCAAATCCATTTTGGCCACTCACAATTATCTCCATCTCTTTTTTTCTTCTTCCTTTTTTCTGTGGTTTTAATCTCATGGGAAAATCTTCCAAACAGGTTGGCCTTAAAGGAGAAGCAATGGATTTGGTCTCTCCAAAAGGAGGGTCATCAGTTGATTGGTTCCGAGGCTCACTAGCTACCCGAACCAAACAGACGTTGAAATGGTATAAGGTAAGGATTTCAAGGTACCATGTTCCTGGGTCCTGGTTAAAGCCAACACAAAATCTGGTGGTAGTGGTTGAGGAACTCGGTGGGGATCCATCAAAGATAACCCTGGTGAAGAGATTAGTGACGGGGGTTTGTGCTGATTTACAAGTACACCACCCAAACGCTGAAAATTTTGATATCGACACAGCCATGAAGAATCGAAAACGCTTCATCAGGCCCAGGTTCATCTGCAGTGTTTGCCAGGGCAGTCTATCTCAAGCATTAAGTTTGCAAGTATTGGAACTCCTACCTACTAACTTGTGGGAGTTTCCAGCTAGAAACGTGTCATGCAACCAACTCTCATGCCATTGTGGAGTGAACTACAATCTTTTCACCTATCGTACTTGTATAGTGAACTCGCAGATGCATATTCTTTTGATAAATACAGATTTATTAATATCCCTTTACGTGTTTAGTAGAATTGTATCGGCCGTGAGAGTTGCTTAGTTACTGTATCGAATAGCATCTTCGGGACAGATCCATGCCCGAATCTACTCAAGCGGCTATCAGTTGAAGCTGTTTGTTCAACTTGAATTACAACCAACAGGGGCAGCCCTGAAGGTGTGCAAGAATTTTTTTACGTGTATATTATGTATATTAATATTATAGATATTATATATATACTTGAGCATGCAGGAACATAACACAAGTTGTAATTAGTTGAGTTGGAATTCATTCCCTTGATTTTAGTAGGTATGTTGGATTCAAGTCCATATTGTGTCATTCAATAGTTGTATTTTTATATTTCTACTCCTTTTTTACATTTCAATAGTTGTATTCAAAGTAATATATTCAAACTTTCTCCAATCAAACAAAAAAAATTGGAGTGTATGTTTTCACCCGCTGAAAAAGAAACAAAAAAAAGTTAATGTCTTCTTCCTCTTCCATTTTCTCAAATTGAAACATTAAAACTTTTATGAATGTTATTTATTAGTGGCGGACCTAGACTTTTTTTCATCTGGGGGCATAAAAAATAATTTCATAGCTGACTCCTACAAAGTCTAGGTTTTTATAGCAATACGATATATATTATAACACATAATCTATTTCAATAAATTTTTAATATATGATTTTGGGCCAAAATCTAAGGCTTTGTATATTGAACCATATGTTTATTAAGTCTTGGGCCTTGATATTTTCAATATAGAAGAGGTTTTGGGTTAAAACCTTGAAGACTTTACTTATTTAGGGTGCTAAAGTGGGGATTTTGCATGCAAAATATTAACCTAGTGTCTAATTTTTATTGACAAAGTGTTTGGCTAGATGGGTGAAGAAACCACCTAAGTGTGGGCAGTTGCCCACAGTAGGCATGTATTGGGTCCGCCAGTGTTATGTATGATTGCTATTGCATGCTAATAGATTATGAATTTTAGTTATTAAAAAAATTATTTTATGGCAAAATTTTTTATAAATATTTCCATATTAGATTGAGGGCTCTAGTTTAAGTTTCGTATAGAGCCCTAAAAATCTCAGAACCAGCCTTGAAAACCAATCAACCCGATCCAACAAGATGAAGATGTTGTAAAAGGAGGCACAACATGCATAGCTATATGAAGCAAAGAATTAAGACGAATTCGAAGAATGCATACTTAGGATGAAGATTCTACATTGAATTGGCTAATCTCTATCTATCAAAATTAGAGTATGTTGGGACCAAATCTCACATGTCATGGCTTAACCCATATGCTATAATTAAAAGACGTGGGGTGATTGAACTTCCCTCCCATTAGAGAAGTGCGGAGCGAGGGAGACACAACCCGGTCATTTGAACCCCATGACCATGAAGTGGACGATGAGATGCGCAAAGCTAGGGAAGTGGGGCTAAACCCAAGGACTCAAAGCGCTATAAAAGCCCAACTAGACCTCCAACAAAGGTACAAGAAATTCAATTGAGCGCTAAGAGTTACAAGAAGAAAAAATACATTAGGGCTAAGTTAGGACTTAGGACATCATGCTAAATATATTTAAAATAATAAGGTTAATTTATTTTTTATGGAGCAAATAAAACTGCTAATTAAACGCATCGTTTCTTTTTTAAGAGGGCAGGGGTTGTGTTAAAAGCTAAAGCATAGATAGTATCAAAACAAGCGTTAAAAATTAATAGGACTCTATGAAACAATGACGTGGCAGATGCGCCTCTTTTCTCACGTCGTCTTCTTCTTCCTCGAGCATATGCACCTCGCTGAGCCTTAAAGCATGGCTTTACAGAGCCTCCGTACGCCTCGCCGTCGACACGCACGCTAGGTGTGCAAACAACTAAACAAGGGAATGCCTGAGGCAATTTTGCTATTGCCTCACTCCGACGTGCGCTTTGATGCGCGCCTACACATGCCTTTGAAAACACAGTTCAAGCAGGTGGGGTAAAAATAAACCAATTACCCAAAGTAATTTTGACAAATTAGAATTTAATTATCACAATGGTAATTTAATCGAAGACCCAAGATTAATTGGTTTAATATTTGCCCAATTTACAATCTCTTGACTTGAGATAGTTGATCACCACTGTTCTCAAAACCAAATTGGTAACCTTGAAGCTAGAAAGGTAAAAGCAGAATTCATTTTATATCAAAAGCCATAGCCATTGGCCTCCAGGAAAACAGGTTGTGTTCCTTTCATCAATACCCATGTAGTTTCATTAGCAGGATAATTGATCCCGATTTACAAAGAACGGGCAGGAGGCATTTAGGGAAATTGGTTGGCAAAGAGCCAAGACTCATTTATTGTTCCAATTGGCTCTTGAACTTTCCATCCCAAATAAATATGGCTTTGTAATAAATAAATAAAACATTCATAGATAATTGGCATGAGGCATCATATGGGAACTAGTAGCCATATACATAAAGCATTCAGATGTCTTAAAAGAAACTCATAAAAGTTATAAACAACTAGTGAAACAGAAAGGAGTTTCATAGCCTCCTCCACAGAGAATGATAGAAGTTAGGCAGTAGCAGTAGCAGTAGGAGAAGCAGTAGGAGAAGCAGTAGGAGTAGCAGTAGCAGTAGGAGTAGCAGTAGCCGTAGGAGTAGCAGTACTAGTAGCAGTAGCAGTAGCAGTAGCGGTAGCACTATCAGAAGCAGTAGCAGTAGCAATAGCAGTAGCACCGGTGCTGCTGGTATCATCAATGCGGGAGGCAGCAGCGGCATGCTTCTCTACTTTGGTCCGTAACTCGTCTTTCTTGGCACCCACAACCTTGTCCACTACCTTGCCTTCCTTGAGGAAGAGGAAGGTAGGCACTGCATCCACACCCCACTTTTCAGAAATAGTCTTCAGTTCATCCACGTCCACCTTCAGGAACGTTACTTTTGGGTTCTTCTTAGCCAACTCCGCCAAGAATGGGGCGATCAACTGGCAGGGTCCATAAAACCAAGCCGTGAAATCCACCACCAGCTATTAAATTAAAGACATCAAATTAATGCATTAGTTAATCAAAGTATAAAACCAATTCCACAACCAAAATATTAAAGAGATGGAGGACACAACCGTACACCTAGGTTTTTAAGCCATTTGCAAATTACAAAACCCCTATGTAGAGTCAGACAAAATTAATTCTATTTGAAATGTAAGCGCTGGAATACACCCAATTCTTGCTCTTGATTTCAAAATTTGGAACTAATTTCTAAGCACAAACAATTTCAATACGGTGAACAAGAAAATAAAAAAATTCCCAATTGAAGCTAATCACAAAATACAAAGGGAATATTGTAAGACAATCTTGTCTTAGCCACGAAATGAGGTCTTCTAATCATATGAGGAGTCAGAGAGTTTGTATTCATCAAGAAGTACTGCTCAAACATATCTGCAGCTCTAGTCTAAGTGCAATTTGATTAGAATACTAGAGCTTTGAGGGTTCATAGTCCTATATGGATTAAAATAACCCCCCCTTTTATTTAGTTATAGTAAATTGATGGAAATGCCCTTAAACTTATAGAGACTAAAATTAAATGTTTTGTAAGCGAAGAAAAAAGAGTGCAAAAAGATATAGAAGTGTGATTGGAGATTTGAAAATTGAAATACCAGTTTCTTGTTTTCATTTCCCTTATGGAGCTGCTCTTCCCATGCCTCAGTATTGTGGCAGTCGATGACTTGATTTTCTTCAGCCATTTTTTCTTTGCTTTCTCTCTCTCAAAGGATTGTGATATTCTCAAGCAAGCTAGGTTATTACAAGTTGTTTTTGTTTTTTTTTTTGCGACGAATGTAATGGGCTCAGCTGCAACTTATATATACAGCCCACAGTCGACCTTAACCAAGAGGTCAGATGTTTAATGTTTATTGCAGAAATGCCATTGCCATTAGGTGGCTGAGGCATTCATATTATGTGACGTGACGCATACCCATATGATTCATATGGCTAATCTTCTGCAGCCTCTCTTCTGTTTTATTTTCATTTTTTGCTTTTAAATATCTGCTTTCTGCCCAATAACTTATTCTACCCCTTGGATTCTCAAGCAAGCTAGGTTATTACAAGTTGTTTTTGTTTTTGTTTTGTTTTGTTTTTTGTTTTTTGGTTTTTTTTTGCGATGAATGTAATGGGCTCAGCCGCAGCGTATATATATAGCCCACAGTCGACCTTAACCAAGAGGTCAGATTTTAATGTTTATTGCAGAAATGCCATTGCCATTAGGTGGCCGAGGCATTCATATTATGTGACGCATGCCATATATCCGTGGAACATGAATTGATTTTCTTCTTCATATTTTTTTCTTTTCTTTTTTTGCTTTTCAATAACTCCTTTCCGCCCAATAACTTATTCTACCCCTTCGAATATATATATATATATATATTATATTAAACTAATTCCAAGTACTTGTAATTGAATATTGGATTTTTCATAGAGACGATTCCCTCTGATTATGATAATAAATGAAAAGAGACTCTGACAGTGAGAGGTGGTGTTTACATAGAGACGATTCCCTTTGGTTATGGTAATGAATTGATTATGATAATGAATGAAAAGAGACTCTGACAGTGAGAGGTGGTGTTACATAGAGACGATTCCCTCTGATTATAAGATTGGATTTTTCTTCCTCTTTTTACTGAGAGACTTGGTTGATTCCCTCTGGTTATTCTTACCCTGTCTTGTGGTTTGCTTGATGTGTTTGTTCTTGTTGGTGATTGTTTTATCTTTGTCTTTCAATCAAGTTTCACTTATTAACAAACAAAAAAAACTAGATTTTGTGGAAATGGGAGATGATTCTTTGTCGATCCCTGAAAAGAAAGGGAAGTTGCAGGATTGAGTTGAACTCTTTGGAGTTGGTAATTATTGTTGATTATTAAGGAGTGTCAACTATTGCTGAGACAATTATTATTTACTTATTTGGGGCTATAAGTGATTATTTTGAAATTTTTGAAAGCTCACCTGTTTGGTAAAAGATAATAAAATCACTTATTTTGAATAATTGTTGTGAGAGAAAGCAATTAGGGAAATTAGGTGATGAGATGCTTTTATTTTTTGATTATGCTATAATCAGTTCTGAAGATGCGCTGGGTTTAATGAAACTTTCAAAATTCCAAAAATAATCCTGTCTTTTTTATTTTTTACCAACCGCACTTCTAATAAAAAGTTTACCAAACTCTTAAATGCTTTCTTTTATAGTTGATTTATCTCACAGCAAATCTGATAGTGATTATTTTTACAACACAACAATGCCAAACTGGCCCTAAATCTGAGGAGAGAGAATGGCTTGACTTATGAAATTTTAGTATAAAGTATACATTGAATTATTGAGGTATCAATATTGGTATAAATTGTATCTTATACTAAAACTGGAATTTTATATTTTGATTTGTTGGGAATTTGATTTTCTAGTATTTTTAATTGAATCCAAATTGGAAGTACTTTCTTATTTACATTGTAAACTTAAGGGGGGTGTATTCAATTGAGATTTTAATAGATTATTTTGAAGTTAAAAGTCCAGTGGTATCCAATTAGGATTTTTAAGTAATCAATAAAAATCTGGTGGTATTCAATTAAGAATTTTAAATAATATATCCAAGTCTTGTGGTATTCAATTAGGACTTTTAAAAGATAAGAAAAAGTACGGTGGTATTAAAAAACTTACTGATTTTGAGGTATTTCGTTAAATGGTGTATTGTATGAGACTTTTGAATGTGTGATATAAATACCAAACCCCATAAAAAATCACACCCTCCTATGCCTGATTCTCACGTTTTTTGTTTTCTGGAAGATGAACAAATGAAGATAAACAAGGTACTCATGTCTTTACAAGGGCTTGGTTTAACCAGACTCGATCCTTCTATATTAGTGGATAGACTCAGATAGCTATCTTTGTTTTCTTTGCTTTCTCTAGTCTATATTGTTTTCTTTTTCTCCTGGCTATTTGGTTGTATGAGGTGTTTCCCACCTTTCTTTTGGCTTCATGTCTACACTGTTTGTTTGATTTCATCTTATGGATAATCTCTTTGCCCAATAAAAAAAAGAGACTCATATGGCTTACGATATCTAAACAATAATTTCAGATACGTTGCTTTCAATAGTTGTTCATATTATGCAATATGCGTGCATTTTTCTCAATAGGTTTTCAGCTCGTTTATTTCCTTTGATTTATTTGTCTTTCTTTAGTCAATTTGTGGAATCAATTTGAGTGACAAGTGTTCTGTACTAGTATCATGTCATAGCTGGATCATTTTGAGTTGTTTTCAGCCGTCCAGTTTCTTATTTGAATTGATTCAATTACCTTGTTTGTTGTAATATTTATAAATTCAAGATTTTTCCTTATTGTAGCTTGTTCCTATGTCAATTCTCAGTTCCAGACCAAGTTCTCTATCCAAAACTTAATAGTTGTATGGTTTTAGTTTAGTGACAGTTATGTTTGAATTTTGGGACCACTATGGTTTTAGCTCTAGAACAGGATGATTTGAAGAAAGCCATACATGATAGATAATAATGATAACTTGAGCTAAGATTGGTGTAACTTCAACTTTCTGCTTCTTTAAAGGCTTGGCATCCTTTAACTAATGGATGAAAGATGGCTAACCCGAATCCAATCCACACTTCGGTGAAATCTACTTTGGAGAATACAAGAAAGTCCAACATCTGAATTAAAATCATAAGTAAAATAATGTAATTACAATCTATTAAAATTTCAATTGAATACACCCATGTAAGTAAATGGAGTAATATAAAAATAAATTAAAGTAAAAACACAAGACATTTGTGATTAAGAGCCTTTGTATAATATATCTGGTCTAACTGTTCACACTACCAAGTAGGGAAATTAATGCATGTGTTCCCAGTTCATGTGGGCTTGTTTGGTGGAAGAAAAAGATATAATAGGACTAGATGAATAAGTAAGTAACCAAAATCCTAACTAAGTAAGGACTCGTCAATAATGTGCTGAGTTAGCTTGAGAGAGAAAGGACTTCGCCTTAGCCAATTGTTGGTGGTGGTCTCCCACAAATCATAATATATCTTCCTCCTAAGAAATGAAAGTATATTCCTTATACCTGAAAATAAAATCAAAAGCAGAACCGGATTTTGTTTCTAAATGTTGAGATAATGAAAAATCATTGATCAAAGACTACTGGAATTGCATATTTCGACCCAAAAAAAGAAAGAAAAAGGAATTGCGTATGATATGAACTCATTAACTCATTAATCATGAATTACTACTAGTTCAATGAAGTTGGTTGGTATTGGTCCTTCTCCTTGGACAAGACTTTTGTGTTACAATCCCAATTCCCAAGTGAAGGACATTAGAGCATTTACAATTATGCTCTTAATTTTTTAGTTAAAATTTAGTTAAAAATATATATAATCTATTTTAGGAGCTCTCTATAAATTTTAAATTCAATCATATACTCTCTAGTTTAAGGACTCATAAATGCTATAACTATTTTCTAAAAAAAAAAAAAAAAATAATTAAAAGTTTAAAATACTCATAAAATAAAGCAACATTAAATTATAAGAAACCATTATGAGTCCTTTTCCTCTCTCATCATATTTATAAGCTCCTAGAGATTTCTCTATTTTAGGAGGTGGATAATGAGCATAGTTGAAGTAGTATTTTTGAAATTCTCCCTAAAATTTGTCTAAGGATGTGGTTTAGAGAGCCCATTATAGATGTTCTTATTAGGCATTGTAACAACACCTTCAACTATGCTCCCTATATAGCTCCTAAATTAGGGAGACCTTTAGGAGCTCCTAAATCTGAAGAGAGAGAATGACTTAACTTATGAGATTTTAGTATAAAGTATACATTGACTTATTGAGGTATCAATATTGGTATAAATAGTATCATATACTAAAATTGGATTTTCATATTTTGATTTGTTGGGAATTTGATTTTCTAGTATTTTCAATTGAATCCAAATGGGGGGTACTTCCTTATTTACATTGTAAACTTAAGTAAATGTAGTAATATAAAACTAATTTAAAGTAAAAAGACAAGATATTTGTGATAAAAAAGCCTTTGTATAATATACTAGGTCTAACTGTTCACATTACCAAGTAGGGAAATTAATGCATGTGTCCCTAGTTCATGTGGGCTTGTTTAGTGGAAGAAAAAGATATAGTAGGACTAGATGAATGAGTAACTAACCAAAATCCTAACTAAATAAGGACTCGCCAATAATGTGCTGGGTTAGCTTGAGAGAGAAAGGACATCGCCTTAGCCAATTGGTGGGTGGTGGTCTCCCACAAATCCCCATCCTCGCCATTGCATTTGCATAATAATGTATGGGATCAAATTTTAATTCAAAGTGAAAGACTAAAGAGAATTTTCTTTTTTAGAAGTACGTGATCAAATTTTAATTTTAATTGCCTTTATTGTACAAAAGGAAGATACGTAACATTTGACCAAGTTCTATTTTATTATACTCTTTTGGGCTTTAATTTAGGGAGCTGATTTCCCCACTCTCATTTTCTCTACTTACACTCCATTTTGCTTTTTAATATTTTTTAATAAATTTTGTTCTTTCTCTTTTCTATTCTATCCTTACCCCACATTAATTCTTTTTTACTTCACTTTTAAATTGTTTCTTTTTCTTTATAATTAATTTTCTAACTTACACTCCATTTTCAGTATTAAAGTGAAAAAAAACTTCATTTCTTACTCGATTAAGAAAAAAAATATTATTGAAAATGGAGTGCAAGTTGGAAAATTAAGTATAAAGAAAAAGGACTAATATAAAAGTGAAGTAAAAAGAAATTAATGTAGGCTAAGGGTAGAATAGGAAAGAGAAGGAACAAAATTGATTAAAAAGTATTAAAAAGTAAAAAGAAGTGTAAGTGGAGAAAAAGGGAGTGGGGAAATCATATCCTTTTATGTATTTGGAAAATATGTTCTCTTTGAGCCTTTGTTCGGTTCATTTCGACTTTTCTCAATAAACGACAAAATCTAACGTTCCATCAACATATGGGCATGCGTCACGTCACATAATATGAATGCCTCAGCCACCTAATGGCAATGGCATTTCTGCAATAAACATTAAACATCTGACCTCTTGGTTAAGGTCGACTGTGGGCTGTATATATAAGCTGCGGCTGAGCCCCATTACATTCGTAGCAAAAACAAAAACAAAAACAAAAACAACTTGTAATAACCTAGCTTGCTTGAGAATATCACAATCCTTAGAGAGAGAGAGAGAGAGAGAGAGAGAGAGAGAGAGAGAGAGAGAAAGCAAAGAAAAAATGGCTGAAGAAAATCAAGTCATCCACTGCAACACTACCGAGGCATGGGAAGAGCAGCTCCATAAGGGAAACGAGAACAAGAAACTGGTATTTCAATTTTCAAATCTCCAATCACACTTCTATATTTTTTGCACTCTTTTTTCTTCGCTTACAAAAAATTCAATTTTAGTCTCCATAAGTTTAAGGGCATTTCCATCAATTCACTATAACTAAAAATAATGATTTTAAAAAACGAAAATATTGATTTTAAAAATATTAAAAATAAAAAATATATATTAAAAAAAAGTTAACCTTACTCAAGTGTCTTGCCCATCAAGAAATACTTAAGCAAACCGGATTGCATTAGGATAGGTTGTTTTAATCCATATAAGACTACGAACCCTCAAAGCTCTAGTATTCTAATCAAATTGCACTTAGACTATAGATGTAGATATGTTTGAGCAGTACTTCTTGATCAATACAAACTCCTCGACTCCTTATGTGATTAGAAGACCTCATTTCGTGGCTAAGACAAGATATTGTCTTACAATATTCCCTTTGTATTCTGTGATGAACTTCAATGGGGAATTTTATATTTTCTTGTTCACTGTATTGAAATTGTTTGTGTCTAGAAATTTAGTTCCAAATTTTGAAATCAAGAGCAAGAATTGGGTGCATTCCAGCGCTTACATTTCAAAATAGAAATAATTTTGTCCGACTCTAGATAGGGGTTTGTAATTTGCAAATGGCTTAAAAACCTAGGTGTACGGTTGTGTCCTCCATCCCTTTAACATTTTGGTTGTGGAATTGGTTTTATACTTTGATTAACTAATACATTAATTTGATGTCTTTAATTTAATAGCTGGTGGTGGATTTCACGGCTTGGTCTTATGGACCTTGCCAGTTGATCGCCCCAATCTTGGCGGAGTTGGCTAAGAAGAACCCAGAAGTAACGTTCCTAAAGGTGTACGTGGATGAACTGAATACTGTTTCTGAAAAGTGGGGTGTGGATGCAGTGCCTACCTTCCTCTTCCTTAAGGAAGGCAAGGTGGTGGACAAGGTTGTGGGTGCCAAGAAAGACGAGTTACGGACCAAAGTAGGGAAGCATGCCGCTGTTGCCTCCCCCACTGATGATTCCTGCCCCACCAGTGATACCTGCCCCAGCGGTGCTACTGCTATTGCTACTGCTACTTCTTCTGAGAGTGCTACTGCTACTTGTACTGCTACTGCTACTTCTACTGCTACTTCTACAGATACTGCCTAACTTCTGTCATTCTCTGTGGAGGAGACCATGAAACTCCTTTCTGTTTCACTAGTTGTTTATAACTTTTATGCGTTTCTTTTAAGACATCTGAATGCTTTATGTATATGGCTACTAGTTCCCATATGAATATGATGCCTCATGCCAATTATCTATGTTTTTTTTTTTTTTTTTTTTTTTTTTTTTTATAATACCATATTTATTTGGGATGGAAAGTTCAAGAGCCAATTGGAACAATAAGATTATGCATTGAAATATATTTTGGAATGACAGTCAAAACCGGAGCCAATCTAATCAAACCTCGAGGCAAAAGCACTTGCCTTTACTTAACAATACTTCTAAAAGCCTCCTTGAGGCAAAAGCACTTACCTCTACTTAACAAACTACTATACACAAACACTCTGTGAATCGAGGGCATGGTCAAAAAGTTGACGGCCAGGTTGTCATTACAAGTGGACTGCTTACATATGTATAAAACGACACTCAGGAGGAATAGAAATTGCTAATCCTGGAATTTCATATTAGGAAAAAGACACTCAGGAGGAATAGAAATTGTACGACAAAAGCTTGTTATTTATTTATTGCTGTGTGAGCTCCAATTATAGCACTGAGACTGAGACATATTGATCAGAATTTCTTGAAGAGAGAGATCTTGGAGGTTTTCTGGCCACTTCCCAGCCAATGTTGCATATGAACTCCAATGGCATCCAAATACAAGCTGCTCCTGCCATGCAAGCCCACCACCTTGCCCTCTGTGGTAGTTGAAGTGAAAAATGTCCCAACTTCTTCCCCAAATGGACCATACTTGCCTCTGCTGGTATAAAATGTCAAAGACTTTATAATTTGAGGTCGCTCGTTTTTACTAATGCAACCATAATACCCAGATATACAAGTCAGCACTTCATGAGGATACTCCAATTTAATCTGCAAAACAAATTGATCAAGTAATAATTTGTTAGATGGACACATACAAATTGAGATTAAATTCGCTTGATCAAGATGTTAATTAAAGCATTTAATTTGTACTCGATGTGGGGCAGTTCCTCCATTGCCTCCATGCTTAGCGGACCAAATGAATTGACCGTTTCGATCATACTCAATCTGCACTGAGCAAATGCCCTCTGCTGCTCTTGTCAAATGAATCTGCCTAATCCTAGAACCCCACAAGCAACCTGGCCACCAACACAGAATTACCTATCCAATTAGCATATGTATAATCTTTGTATTATCTACTAATATATATATGCATGGAATTAGATTAAACTTAATTACCTCTTCAGCTTTTCCTCTGTTTGTCATTAGCAACTTGTTAGACCAGTGAGGATTGTCTACCTCTGTGATGGCCCCTGCAGGCTCCTTTGGGATGATTGCAGTGCAATTATTAGGAGTATTTGTGACAGGTGGTGTCTGTGTCTCAGTCTTGACATTGACCTTCCCTTCTGTGGCATGGGTTTGTGCAAATAATCTCACGGGAGAATATTCGCTTCTAGATCCTTCAACCTTGGATCTTCCTTCTCTCTCCTCCTCGATTCCTGTAAAAAAGACTGGAGTAAATAGACCACACCCGGGGGTGTTGGCTAAAGGCCCTCCGATGCCTAAGTTAGTTCGAGTGTTTGTAGGAAAACAATAGCTAAGCAAAGGGTACGGAGTTGTATGTATGGTGTGAACCGGGCGGCCGGAGCCGTGTGTGGTGGCCGGAGCCGTGTAGAGAAAATATGGAAAGTGGAGAGGGAGAGGGGGAGAGCCTCGGGGCTAGGGTTTCGTAGAGAATATGCTGAGTTTATTCTCTACCCAAATTCGTAGGGATCGAGTCGGACTTAGATAATATCTGATTTAATGATATTATCTTCTCTTTATTGAAGATAATATATGAATTAAATGATATTATCTCTTTTTATGAAGATAATATCTGAATTAATGATATTATCTTCTCTTTATTAGGATAATATCTAAATTAATGGTATTATCTTATTAAATAAAGATAATATCCCATTAATTAATATATTTATCCCAATTAATTAATTGGCCAGATAAACTGGTTCAATTAATTAATTTAAGAGATAATCTTCTTTTCCACGTGGCGTGCCCTGATTGGAGACGAAAATATATGCTCCCATAGCATGCACCTCAAGAGCATCTAAGAAGAGACCATTCCTCCCGTGAATTCCAACAATCTTGCCTTCCTTAAGCTTGGTGGTGAAAGGGGTTCCTTGTTCTTCTCCATATGGCCCGTGCTTCTTCTTCGTCATGTGGAAAGTGAGGGACTTAATCACATTAGGCCCCATCATCATGGCAGCCCCAGATGTTCCTGTTATGTTCGTCAAGATTTTGTTCGGAAAATGAAAAACTATCTACACATATGTAGTGTAAAACAAAACATTGCAAGTGAACGTTGATGTGCATTCAAATCAAATGAAAAAAATCGCAAGTGAACGTTCCTGACAATGATACTCTTGACGATTTCTTAGCCATAAAGTATTATGTTTCCAGACACTTTTTAGCCATCACTAAAGGGTGTTTTTCTCGTAGATGTTAATTGGTCATAATAGTTGTGCTTTGATAGAAAATTGCAAAATCATAGAAGTCGAAGTATACACATCAGGAGTTATCCCATAGCTCTTCATCCTCCTCATCAGTTCCATCGCAACATCGCAATGCCGTAACTGGTTATGACTAGCAATTAACATATTCCACGTTACCAAACCCGGTTCAATCCCTTCTTTGCTCATCGCATCAAACAGTCTACGAGCTTCTTCACTCTCACCTTTGTGGCAATAACCAGATATAATTGCATTCCAACTCACCCCATCCCTCTCATCCATGTTGTCAAAAAAACCTCCTTGCCCACTCCAAATTTCCACACTTTGCGTACACAGCTAATATTGAATTGTTCACATGAATACAACTAGTCAAATTACACCGAACGGCAATGGAATGTATCAATTTCGTGGCCTCGATATTGGAACAATTCTCACAGGCCTGCAATATCTTAGGGAACAAAAAGTAATCCGGCAAAACTCCATCTTTCATCATCGAGAAAAAAAGCTACCTCTTTCCACCTTTGGTCTCTAAGACACGCACCAATCATGGCTGACCAAGTGTACAAATTTCTCTCACGCATTGCGTGAAACACCTTACGAGCATCATCCAAAAATCCACATTTGGCATGCTAAAATATGAATATGGTTTGAATGTATTAGGTTTTTCTTTATTCTTCTCCATAAGGAGGTATATACAGGAGTTTACATATGAGGGTTTTACAAGGAATTAGATATAGTAAAGAATTAGGAAAGTATCTCATAATTGAACAATGATTTATCACTTATATAAAAAAATAGGAAAGTAAATCCCTTAATTAATCAAGGAAGTAAATCTCCTTGATTCATTAGGAGACTCACGTCAACACTCATCCTCAAGTTGGTGCATATATGTCACGAATGCCCAACTTGGTAAGTGAGTCATGAAATACTCTCCCACACTCACAGCATATGCAATATCTGATCTTGGAGGACGTATGAAGAGTAGAACCTTTGGTGGTGGTGATAGAAGAAGGAGTCTGGGTAGCTAGGTCAGCAGGATTGACTGCATGCTTTTGTGAGTCTACAACAAGATGGAGAATCGTATGGGTTCTTGACATCGCAGCGGAAGTAAGATGTGATATGAGAAGGTGAGGAAGGTGATGTGAGAAATTTGATGTATGAATTGGATTTAAGAGGTATGTGTATAAGATTTGATGGTATGTGTTTAGGGATTTGGATTTGAGGATTTGAGGGATTTGGATTTGGGGAAAAAAAAATTGAGGAATTTGATTTAAGGTTTTGGATAAGAGGATATTAGGACTTTAGATTTGAGATAAGGGTTTAGAGACAAAAAAAAAGAAGAAAAAAGAGGAATTTGATTTAGGGTTTTGGATAAGAGGATTTGAGGACTTTAGATTTGAGATAAGGATTTAGAGACAAAACAACTTCTCTTCACTCCCCTTCTCCCCTTGAAGAGAAGGGGTCGTCAGAGTCAAGAAATAAGCGACATCTTCTTGAGAAAGAGAAACATATCATTTTCACTCCCCCATCCCCCCCTTGAAGAGGAGGGGATGAGAGCACTTAAATTGCAAGAAGAACTCAAGCACAGGTCACAGAGAACATGGCTCTGATACCATGCTAAAATATGAATATGGTTTGAATGTATTAGGTTTTTCTTTATTCTTCTTCATAAGGAGGTATATATAGGAGTTTATATATGAGGGTTTTACAAGGAATTAGATATAGTAAAGAATTAGGAAAGTATCTCCCAATTGTACAATGATTTATCATTTATATAAAAAATAGGAAAGTAAATCCCTTAATTAATCAAGGAAGTAAATCTCCTTAATTAATTAGGAGACTCACGTCAACATGGCATACATGCTCACCAACTTAGTCTCAACAAATGGGTTTATTTTCTCAACTAAATCAATATGCTCATGGAGCTTCCGACCCAGCTGAATGGAATTGGTGTCAATACAAGATTGAAGTAAATTCATACAAGTAGTGGGTGATACCTTGAACCCTTTTTGGGCAATAGAGTCAAGAACTGTGATGGCCTCGCTGAACTGGACATTCTTGCAGACAGCGGCGGATCCATGAATTTTTCAGGGGAGGTGCAATATATAAAAGGCTAAAAATTTACAAAGGACTCAAGTAAGGCCCTAGATTTAAGTCCTAACATCCGTGTAGTGTGTTAAAAAAAATAAGGCTAAAAATCCAAAAAAAAATTATACAACCAAATGCCCTTAGAATTTAACCAATACTAATGTCATTCATAATTAAAACAAATAAGAGTTTTACGTCTACAACTAATTGATTATAGTCTATATGGATATCAATTAATATGAACAAAATCTTTGTCATTGACACAATTAGTTTACCAAAATTCATATCAAATATGAACAAAATCCATGTCAATTACATATTTAATCTAACAAAAGTCAATACCAAATAATCTAACCAAAAGCACATGTAAATTGGAGGTCATGAAACAAAAGTACACATGATTAAAAGTTTTGGGTAATTTTTAGTGAATTTTTTGGCACACATATGAGTTTTTAATGAATTTTTTAATTTAGACCAATTAGAAATAGACATGTGTCGGCTTGCTATTGGACAATTTAAAAAAGAATCAAAATCAGAAGCGCTGACGTCTGACGCGGAGTATTCTTCTTCCTTGAACTGTGCCTCTGCGACTTAACTTCAAATATTGTAGAAAAACTTCAAAAATTCATAACTTTGGTTGTGGAGCTCCGATTGATGAGCCGTTTTCTCCTACATGCTCGTGAGATCGAGCCCAACAATATAAGGTAAATATTCAGGGTCTCACAATGCAGCAAACAATACAACGTCTTTGAGGCATTTAGTCGAACAATTGGTGGGCACTAGCAAATGGGCAAATTCTGGCATCCCTAAGGAAGTTTCCGGCGAGGGGAGGTGCAGGCTTGCAGAGATAGTTTAAACGAGTGTCTGTGAATTTTGGGAGAGTTTTCCTGGAGAAAGAGATTATGGGTTTGGCGTGTCTTAGTGAGAATTCAGATGGGTTGCCAAGTTTGGAGGGTAGAATAGGTGTGGGAGGGCTTGATTTGCATGGGATTGTGAAATTCTCCATTGTTGAAAGTTGAAACTTTTAAGAGATTTTCTGTTTTTCTTTTTTTTAATGGGGTGCTCTTTTCAGTTCATGGCCTGGCCTGGAGGGTGAGGTGAAGCAAAGATTGAAGATTGCACGGTTGTGTCCATGGAGAGTGGAACCCAAATTGCAACGGATAGAGGGAAGGAGTGATTCGCTGCAGTGGTTTGCTCTATCATGCTAAGATCCAGCCAGTAATATCTCGTCACGTTGAAGCATGGGAGGGCATTGGTCAAAAAGTTGACGGCCAGGTTGTCATTACAAGTGGACGGTTTACATATGTATAAAGCGACGTAGTAGTGTACAAAAAAGCCTAAAACTAATACAGAAATTGCTAAACTGGAATTTCATATGTGAGCTCCAATTATGGCAATGTATATATCGCCTAATTGTGCCAGCTCTAATTTTGAGTTTCAGTGTTTATGGTTTATGGCAGTATCATGAACCAACTTTGGACGAAATGCTGGAGGCCCATCATTACAAGTTTACAACCAGAGTTATGACTATGATGCTCCCATTGATGAATATGGTAAAACCTTTGAGTTCAAATCCATTTTGGCCACTCACAATTACCTCCCATCTCTTTTTTCTTCTTCCTTTTTCTGTGGTTTTAATCTCATAGGAAAATCTTCCAAACAGGTTGGTCTTAAAGGAGAAGCAATGGATTTGGTCTCTCCAAAAGGAGGGTCATCAGTTGATTGGATCCGAGGCTCACTAGCTACCCGAACCAAACAGACGTTGAAATGGTATAAGCTAAGGATTTCAAGGTACCATGTTCCTGGATCCTGGTTAAAGCCAACACAAAATCTGGTGGTAGTGGTTGAGGAACTCGGTGGGGATCCATCAAAGATAACCCTGGTGAAGAGATCAGTGACGGGTTTGTGCTGATTTACAAGTACACCACCCAAACGCTGAAAATTTTGATATCGACACATCCATGAAGAATCGAAAACGCTTCACCAGGCCCAGGTTCATCTGCAGTGTTTGCCAGGGCAGTCTATCTCAAGCATTAAGTTTGCAAGTATTGGAAATCCTACCTACTGCAACTTGTGGGAGTTTCCAGCAAGGAACGTGTCATTCGACCAGCTCTCATGCCATTGTGGAGTGAACTACAATCTTTTCACCTCTCGTACTTGTATAGTGAACTCGCAGATGCATATTCTTTTGATATATATAGATTTATTAATATCCCTTTATGTGTTTAGCAAAATTGTATCGGCCGTGAGAGTTGCTTAGTTACTGTATCGAATAGCATCTTCGGGACAGATCCATGCCCGAATGTACTCAAGATGAATTCGAAGAAGGCATACTTACATATGAAGATTCTACATTGAATTGGCTAATCTCTATCTATCAGAATTAGAGTCTGTGGGGACCAAATCTCAAGTGTCATAGCTTAACCCATGTACTATGATTAAAAGACGTTGGGTGATCAAACTTCTCTCCCGATGGCACTAGAGAAGTGAGAAGCGAGGGAGACACAACCCGGTCATCTGAACCCCATGACCATGAAGTAGAGGATGGGATGCACAAAGCTAGGGAAATGAAGCTAAACCCAAGGACTCAAAGCACTATAAAAGCCCAACTAGACCTCCAACAAAGGTACAACAAATTCAACTAAGCACTAAGAGTTACAAGAAGAAAAAAAATACATTAGTGCTAAGTTAGGATTTAGGACATCATGCTAAATATATTTAAAATAATAAGGTTAATTTATTTTTTATGGAGCAAATAAAACTGCTAATTAAACGCATCGTTTCTTTTTAAAGAGGGGCAGGGGCTGTGTTAAAAGCTAAAACATAGATAATATCAAAACAAGCGTTAAAAAATAATAGGACTCTATGAAACGATGACGTCGCAAATGCGCCTCTTTCCTCATGTCGTCTTCTTCTTCCTCGAGCAGATGCGCCTCGCTGAGCCTTAAAGCATCGCTTTATAGAGCCTTCGTATGCCTCACCGTCGACGCGCACGCTAAGTGTGCAAATAAATAAACAAGGGAACCCTGAGGTGATTTGCTATCGCCTCGCTCCGACGTGCGCTCCAACATGCGCTTCGATGCGCGCATACGCATGCCTTTGAAAACATTGTTCAAAGCAGGTGGGAAAATAAACGAATTAACCAAAGTAATTTTGACTAATTGAAATTTAATTATCACCAATGGTAATTTAATCCAAGACCCAAGATTTATTGGTTTAATATTTGCCCAATTTACAATCTCTTGACTAGAGATAGTTGATCACCACCGTTCTCAAAACCATATTGGTAACCTTGAAGCTAGAAAGGTAAAAGCAGAATTCACTTTAAATCAAAAGCCATAGCCACTGGCCTCCAGGAAAACAGGTTGTGTTCCTTTCATCAATATCCATGTAGTTTCATTAGCAGGATAATTGATCCCGATTTACAAAGAACGGGCAGGAGGCATTTAGGGAAATTGGTTGGCAAAGAGCCAAGACTCATCTTATTGTTCCAATTGGCTCTTGAACTTTCCATCCCAAATAAATATGGCATTGTAATTATATATATATATATATATATATATATAAACATTCATAGATAATTGGCATGAGGCATCATATGGGAACCAGTAGCTATATACATAAAGCATTCAGATGTCTTAAAAGAAAACCATAAAAGTTATAAACAACTAGTGAAACAGAAAGGAGTTTCATAGTCTCCTCCACAGAGAATGATGGAAGTTAGGCAGTAGCAGTAGGAGTAGCAGCAGGAGTGGCAGTGCAGTAGCATTATGACAGATGATTCGACAGATGTCTGGAAGCAGGAGTAGCATTGGCCGTAGCATTATGACCGAAGATTCAGACATGCAGGAGTAGCAGTGGCAGTAGCATTATGGCAGATGATTCGACAGATGTCTGGACCTTCATTTTTCCAAAACAACAACAAAAAAAGAAAAAACCACAACAAAAATATAATAAAAAATATAATAAAACCACAACCAAAGCACAATCAAAATATTGAAATTTGCCTTTCAGCTCGTCTACTGTTTTTCTCATTTGCTTCTCGCTCTTGCCTCTCCACCCATCTCCTTATATCTTCCATTGAGAATGGAGTATGAATTCTAAACTCTGAGAAATGAAAATATAGAAAGATGTGGTGTGAGAGGTATGAGCTGAGCCTCTGGTTTTATAGAAAATTTTGGTCAGATAGAGATGCCACGTGGCTTGATTTGATAGGATGAAAATCTTATCTGAAATTTGAAATTCATCCGAAATTTGAATCCAAAAATTTATCTGAAATTTAAATTTTGAAATTCATCCGAAATTTGAAGCAGGGAAAATCTTATCCGGAAATTTTAATCCGATTATGAATAGTCTTGACACATAGGAACCGAAAATCTTATCCGAAAATATTATCCAAATTAATTATTGAGGTAAAAAAATTTGTGAAAAAAACAAAAAAAATGAATATAATTGTCCTTTGCCATGGCAACGGGTGGAAACGGAAATGACTTTTTACAAGGGCAACCATTATTCACGTGAATAGTGGCTGCCCTAGCACCCCCTTGCCATGGCAAAGGGCAAATGGGTGGAGTTGCTCTTATTAAACTAATTCCAAGTAGTTGTAACATTGAATATTGGATTTTTCATAGAGACGATTCCCTCTGGTTATGATAATGAATTGATTATGATAATGAATGAAAAGAGACTGACAGTGAGAGGTGGTGTTTACATAGAGACGATTCCCTCTGGTTGTGAGATTGGATTTTTCTTCCTCTTTTTACCGAGAGACTTGGTTGATTCCCTCTGGTTATTCTTACCCGGTCTTGTGGTTTGCTTATGCGTTGTTCTTGTTGGTGATTGTTTTATCTTTGTCTTTCAATCAAGTTTCACTTACTAGCAAACAAACAAACCTAGATTTTGTGGAAATGGAATATGATTCTTTGTGGAGCCCTGAAAAGAAAGGGAAGTTGCAGGATTGAGTTGAACTCTTCGGAGTTGGTAATTATTGTTGATTATTAAGGAGTGTCAACTATTGTTGAGATAATTTATTTATTTTCAATGTGATGTGTCATCTTTTACGTCTTTAAATGAAATTTAAATGTGTCAACTTTCAAACATTTACATATATTATAAATGAAGACGGATCTGGGTTTTTTTTTTTTTTTTTTTTTTTTTTTTTTTTTTTTTTTTTTTTTTTTTTTTTTTTTTTTTTTTTTTTTTTTTTTTTTTTTTTTTTTTTTTTTTTTTTTTTTTTTTTTTTTTTTTTTTTTTTTTTTTTTTTTTTTTTTTTTTTTTTTTTTTTTTTTTTTTTTTTTTTTTTTTTTTTTTTTTTTTTTTTTTTTTTTTTTTTTTTTTTTTTTTTTTTTTTTTTTTTTTTTTTTTTTTTTTTTTTTTTTTTTTTTTTTTTTTTTTTTTTTTTTTTTTTTTTTTTTTTTTTTTTTTTTTTTTTTTTTTTTTTTTTTTTTTTTTTTTTTTTTTTTTTTTTTTTTTTTTTTTTTTTTTTTTTTTTTTTTTTTTTTTTTTTTTTTTTTTTTTTTTGGCGCGAGCTCGACACACCGGAAAAACCCGAAAAATGCAGAGAAAACGACGATCAAATAGGGAAAAACCCTGGAGGGGATCGCGGAGGGGGGGGGGAGAAAAGAAAAGTAGATGGGAATCGAGAAAAGGCGGTTGTGGGAGTGTAGAGGACGAACGGAAACATCAAAGGATCAGGAAAAGCAAACGAGACGAACTGGGGGGAGTGGCAGCGAGGGGGGAAGTTCAAAAGAATCTAGTGCCAACCGGAACATTGTGTTTTAGGAAAACATAAAGTAATAACTTACGAAAAACTACATTTTTAGTTCAGTTAAATAAAATTGACATTCTAAAATAATAAATAAAAAGATAATAAATAAAATAAAAAGATAATAAATTTATTTAACGAAAACGTTTAAAAATCCCTATTCTTAAACAAGTTTTTTTATTCATCATCATTTAATGGTTCCTAAAAAAATAATTGGCATTTAATTAACTCCTTCAATCTCGACGATTGAATAAAAATAGGTTATTATGATTTCGAATAAGCCGCTATGGGTGAAATAGGTAGACACGCTGCTCTTAGGAAGCAGTGCTAGAGCATCTCGGTTCGAGTCCGAGTGGCGGCATGGCATCTTCTAAAAGAGTAAGCCCTATAATGAATTCAATTCCCGATTTCAATTCCTATAATTGCGGGACCCCCTTTTAATAATTTTTTATGATATTTTCAACTTTAGAGCATATATTAACTCATATATCCTTTTCTATCGTTTCAATTGTAATTACAATTCATTTGATAACTTTATTAGTCGATGAAATCGTAGGACTATATGATTCGTCAGAAAAGGGTATGATAGTTACTTTTTTCTGCATAACAGGATTATTAGTTACTCGTTGGGTGTATTTGGGGCATTTACCATTAAGCGATTTATATGAATCATTAATTTTTCTTTCGTGGAGTTTTTCCATTATTCATATGATTCCGTATTTTAAAAAACATAAAACCCATTTAAGTGCAATAACCGCGCCAAGTGCTATTTTTACTCAAGGTTTTGCTACTTCGGGTCTTTTAACTGAAATGCATCAATCCGAAATATTATTACCCCGCGCTCCAATCCCATTGGTTAATGATGCATGTAAGTATGATGGTATTGAGCTATGCAGCTCTTTTGTGTGGATCATTATTATCATTAGCTCTTCTAGTCATTACATTTCGAAAATTCAGAAGGATTTTTAGTAAAGGCAATAATTTAGTATTAGTAAATGAGTCATTTTACTTTGGTGAGATTCAACACGTGAACGAAAGAAACAATGTCTTACGAAACACTTCTATTTCGTCTCAAAATTATTACAGGTATCAATTGATTCAACAATTGGATCGGTGGAGTTATCGTATTATTAGTCTAGGGTTTATCT